CTGTAGAGCTGACACTTCTCCATCCATAGCAGAGGTTGACATAGTATATGACTTGCCCAACATCAAGGGACTGCCTAGATCCTTCTCGGATTTAGTATCCAATCGATGCCGCTGGTAGATGAGTTTGGCATCCGCGTAGGTGTCACGCTTTTCTGCGGCATAATGGTAAAAGGGGTGCGGCAGGTGTTCGTCTTCCGGAGCTCCCTCTGAAGAGTCTGTGTAGTCTGATTCAGGAGCTTCCAGTCGTCCCTCCCTGTCTTCACCCTCATCCTCTTGCGGTTGCTTGGGTGCTCTTCGCGTCGAATTCTTTCGGGAGCGCGGGGCATCTTTATTCCCGGGCACACGCGACGATTTCCAGTCGTAGACATCTGCTTCTTCGTCTGAGTCAGTCGTGGCACCGTGTTGCGTGTGGTGTAGTGCAGTGCTGCGGCTATCCATGGCCAGAGTGTCCGGGTTTGTTCTGTTCGATGCAACCGCCCTTGAGGGTCAAGAACGAGGCCAACTAAGCTCTGGATTTGGCGCCCTGGCTCTCAAAAGATAATATAGAGTATTGAGAGACTATGCTAACCGCCTACGTAGGATAATCAAAGAACGATAACTGGACGAGCGTTGATGGCTAGGAATTGTCGCTCAGAGTCGGGGGAAGGTGATCAGTAGCACTCCGTGCTAGGGGAAAGCTTGAAACTCTAGGACGCGGAATGTCTTGGCAAGGCTTTTGGCACCAGGACTCTAATTGGACCGATTCCAACACCTTGTCTCGTTCCTCCACCCATACATGCCTTTATGTCTATTCCCCCCTTCATCGGGCAGCTCCGAAGAGCTACAGAGCCACAGGTGGACTTGACTACAAGTTGGTAAGTTAAGTATTGTTCACCAAAACAGATATAAACTCAATTTCATGGGTATTGTTCTCCAAAATGCTCGCTTCCCTAGACGCGCACACAAGAATTTACACATAGCCCGCACTCCGCCCAATGCTCGCTGGCTAACAATACAAGGACCGAACCTCCCCACATTCCTGACAGCTCATATCGACCTGTTCAGCGCTCCACGAATCGCCTTCGCTAGCCACGCATCCCCGGTGTAGGAGGAACGTGACGGCTTAATCGAGGTCAACTCAGCACTGTCGACATTAGTGCCGTCTACATTGGAAGTAGACACCATCGACATCAATGCTGTCAGCCACGGCGTTGTTTTCCGAAGACCGTATCTGTTCCACTGCGCGGTGTTGAGGTCGGGTTCGATCCTTTTGAACTTGAGTGTGAGCTCGCGCCGGTCTGTTCCGAGTCCGTCGTCGAATGTCCTGGTGGCAATGCTTGAAGAGGTTTGCCTTCTAATTTCCATCCGCTGACCGTCGCCCTGGCATTTGCCGGCGGTTCTTGTGGCCCTAGCCATGGACCCTTCCACCCGCCAGAGATACTAGTCGGATGTCCTGTGCTGTTTGCGACGCAGTATTTCGAATTAAACTGTGTTCCTTTTCGCTCCTGAAAAGCCATAGTCGCCACTCTTGACCAAATGAATGTCGGATCGTAAGCCATCTCTCTGGTGTACCAAATGCGACAGTCAGCTGCTTCGTACACGAATTGAAGAGGAGTGTTCGTCTGATCACCAATCCGGAAATGGTTGCGTCCATTTACTCCACCGCCGGCGCCGCCTGATGCTGCGCCTGATGTTCGTAAATAGGGCTCGTAGGTGAAGTTCTCCCAAATCGTGCCATTCGCCAGGTCCAAAAATGAGTTGTTGGGGTTGTGGAATAGATCACTCCACATTGCCAGGCTAGGGAATTCAAAGATCTGGCTGCCTTTCACGCCCCCCACTGCCTGCATTGGACCTGTTTGTGGTCGCCCTCCCACTGCAATAAATTGCACACCGGCATAACTTTTCAGATACTCGGAGAACACTGTGCAGGTGCTTGCACAGAAGCCGTCAGTAAGTACAATAATATCCTGTGCCGCGAAGGGTTGTCGATATCCAGTGCGGTTATTCGTTCCTGTAATGACTATACCACTCCCTTCGAAGTCTGAAGAAGTCTCGTCCGTGTAATTGTTCTGGAAAAAGGCAGTGAAGTTCCCGCCGTACGCTGGGTATGGCCCATAGTATGTCTCGAAATCAGGGAAGTCGTAAAACTGGTAACTAACGACCGTCTGATATGCCAGCGGGGTATAGTTATGCTCATCCTGTTGTTCATCCGTGACATCGGAGGTTTTTAGGTCGGCCTGAACACTTGAGGATGCAGCATTACCCAGGATCCAGAAACCGAGATGGTCTCGCATGTTCGACTTCGAGTTGGGTGTGATTGATGGGAAGAGTTGCGCAAAGGTATCGGTGCCAAGGTCGACAAAGCCGCCTAGACAAAGTTAACATAAGGAAAAAGGACCACGACGAAGCACTCACCCCCGTTGCCCTGAAGATCAATTATCAACTTCCTCTTTCCCGTTTTGACCGAGGCGTCGAGAAACTTTTCTACCACTGACTGAAATTCCCGCTCATATTCTTGCGAATCACTATTCGCGGCCTCAAATCCGATGATTTGAAGGACAGCCACATCGGTAAGGCCAGTATCATTCAGGTAATACCCAGCAACCGAGCCAGCGCTATGCTTAATCACTGGGTATGGGTATCCTGGAATGGTTGGTGAGCTTGGCGGTGCCTCAGTTGTTGCAGGTGGTTGTGAAGTGGTGGAAGCTGCGCTGCTGGTGGTGCTAGCATAGTCTGTCTGTGTGTACGTGTCGAAGGCCTCGGAACAGAACACAGAGAAGGCGTCGTCTCCGGTGTTCACACCGTCCAAAGGTATATTAACTAAAGCATCGTTCGGGTATTGGAAGGTAGTCCCGTTGGCAAATGTTACATTTGTTGAGGGTCCTGGGTAAAAAACTGGGAATTGAAATAACGGGTTCCACTGGAGGGCTGGCGTGGCAAACAGCATGTTCCATAGAACATCCGGGTCTTGGGACCTGAAGATCATGGATTGGGTTAACAGAAAAGACACGACGTCGATGCCGTCAATGCTCTTGACTGGTGAAGGAGCGTATCCAGTCACAGGGCTTTGCTTGCCCGTAGCATCTCGCACTGTAAGATCGCCTGTCGCCCGTTAGTGAAATCCTACACGGCCAGCGTTTGGTGTTCCACTTGCCGGCATGGTACACTTGCGGAATCTCCTCTCCGTCTGATGAGACAGCAGCCAGGGCAGCGCCACGACGAAACATGAATGCGCCCATTAAATCTCCATTCCATGAAAGGTGTCCGTCCCGCGCCGCGGTCAACAATGCGAAGATATCCACCTGCATGTCATACTCGCTCTCATATGCTCCCGCCTCCACCTTTTTCTGTATAGTGTCAAACTCTCCATCGAGATCCAGGCTTGGAAAGAGGTACCCCTGTGGCGGGTTTAGCAGATACTCTTTGTTACTTTGAAACTCAAGATAGGTCCGCAACGAGTTCAGCAGGCGGAGCGCCGGTTCTTGGTAGTTCGGAACCGATCTCATGCAATTATAGGCAAGCTCCGCGGGTATGAATATTTTGGTAGCTTCAGGATTGTCGGCCTGATATTTTTTCGAGGCACTGGATGCGACTGCACATGCTGATGCTGCTGGTGACGATGTTCCGGTTGCTCGTGGTGAAATGGCCTTGGGAGGAGAGGTGATGGTAGTACTGCCGGCGGTGCCCTGGGCGAAAACGATCGCAAGGGCGCATATTTTCCAGAGGCTCTTTGCCATTGCCGCTGTCATTGGTTCCGATGGATGCTTGGATCAGCTCGCGTTGAAGCGAGTTCAGGCCGGGAACCGTTCAAGACAGAGCAGCCTGTACAGATAGACAACGAGTGATTCCAAAGGCAAAGCCAGCTTGCATCATACGCGATGGTCACCCCAATATAAGAACAAATGTTTTTCAATGAGAGTCGGGCGACGGATGCTTCGTCAGGACTGTAGCCACTTTCTTCGCAACGAGAACCCGCTCCACTTGGTAGATCCAGAAGGATCAGGATCTAAATCGTGTGGCCGGAAGCGAGACATCAGTCTCGCTGCCCGTACCTACTCCGTATGATCCTCAGCCCTGAAAGGATTCGCAGGCGTGCTCGTCAACGCGGAATTTCGCAGACGAAGGCTCAACTTGACTGCGCACATGCTGCGGCTGAGGCTTGGACCCCAAATTTGGAGACTTCGGGCCCCAGTTTCGCTTGTCCCGTTAGCAAATCAGATGGATACTGGTCAAGGACCGGTGCCACAATGTAAGCGCGTTTGTCGGACCTTTGGAGGCTTGGGGGCCTAGATCTGATCACTGAAGGCACTTGCCGCTACAATGTGAAGGACAGAAATCAGCGTTTCAGGGGAGGAGGCATAATCACATCCAGCATCTTTCAATCTCTGGTGAACGGAGACCTGGTTATTAATACTCCGTACTTAGGTAGTTTCGGATTGTTCAATGCGGCCGCAGCACGAGGTACGGAGTCCCGAGTAAGTAGTAGGACTCGGTGCTGTGTGTTGGTTGAGGCTGTACAGGGTAGATCGGAGAGACGATTTAATGGTACTATGTATTGCCGATCAGCTACTCCTTTGGTGCTGTAGTGCCTCGTAGAGAGTACACAGTCGCTGGGTGGTTATGAGGTTCTTTCCACGGGGTTGTCCGTCTCAGTTGAGCCCTTATACCTAGTACCTAGCTCTATGAAGAGGCACCAGAGGATCTGGGGGCTTTTTAATAAAATTCTTCCGGTTTTTTTTGGTGCTATGAATACTTTTCTTCATCCCTTCAAAGTCATGATACAAGCGGCCACCCGCTCCTTGGGATGACCCGCAAAACCCTCGCAGCGTGAAAACGACTGCTTGGAAATGCTCAAACTCCTCCTCCAGTAATACTAAGTAGACCATATCCCAACCGCCGTCCGAGCTTTGACCGGCCGTCATACCTACTATTCCCTAGCGTATTCTGTACAATACCTCGTACACAAATCCAAAGCTATAAAAAAAGTCTCATCAGTACGGAGTACCTATGCAAACTCCCCATTATTCACCGCCCCTCCTCATTCGCCTGCGGGACCGCTGCCTTGCTTTGATTGCTTCAGCCGTAAGAATATCGTCCGGCAGCTTAAAATCTTCCTCCAGAAGGTCGGGAATAGGATGGCCAAATGCAAGAAGGGTGCGTCCCCTCTGGCGACCAGCAACTGCGGCATCTCGCAAATGCCGTTTGTCGAAAAAGGAAAGGAAAGGCTTGGGCGGCGGAGGCTCAACCCATGGTGCAGGCGCCGGCTTTCTGCGTTTATTGGCAATCTTTGCTTCCTCAATGAGTTGTTGCGATGCAAGCGCGTCGAGCTCACTTGAATTCGGGGCGTGGGTCGATGCAGTGTCAAGACTTCCTTCCTCGATGGATGTGGCGCGGCCTGAACTCTCGTTGTCTGCGTCAACGCCTTCGTCCTCTTCTTCCTCCAACATGGCCGCTTCCAGCAACTCCTGTTCTCGCTCTAACTTTCTGCGCTTTTCTTCCTCTTTCCATCTTTTGAACTTGTCAATCAACGCTTGAGTTTCTCGGATGAACAACAGTCGTTTAGGCTCATATCGCTTCTTCTCTGTCTCGGTGATGCCCGTTATTCCCAGGGTCTTTAACCAGTCTGGCCCCCGTAGGTCTTCCAGGAGCTTGTCCAGTTGGTACTTTTCATGCTGGGCCCGTTCTCGGTCACTATTCTTCATCTGTTTCTCATGCCTTTCGGCCTTTGCATGGATCTTGATATACACATCTTCGCCCAGAGGATCGCCTTGGGCAGGATCGGCAGCGTCGCCGTCTTCGCCCAGGTGGATGATTTGTGTGTTGTGTAGCGACTTCTGCGCTCCAAAAGGGTCAGACTTGGAGGGATTTGGTTCAAAGCCGGGCGTATCATCAATTAGGATAACTTTCGTCCTGGCGGTCAATGCTTCTAGGTGAGGTCAGTCAAGGTCTCGAAGGGTATGTGCAACAAGCCATACCTGGATCAGGTGGCTTCAGACTCAGCATCTCCTCGAAGTCAGGGAAATACTGCGCAAGCTCCGTTTTAGCCCGAGACCCTCCATCTTCTGAGCGTAACTTTCGCCGGTCTTCGTGGTTTGCGGATAGACCATCCCCTCGGATTGCGGCTCTAGCCTTCTCTTCAATGAGTCTGATCTGATCATATTGTGACTTCGCACTAGGGGATATAGGGGAGTCGATAAGGGTGGTGGTGTTATAGTTGTTGTGGTTGATCTGTGCGGGATTTGCCCTGGGAGCAGGTTTGGGAGGCACCGCAGTCGGGGCGGTGGCGGGAGGTGGTGAAAGGACTTTAGGTACACCCCCTCGACTGCGAAGCGGGATCCGTAGCTGCGGTTTTTCGCTCTTGGTTGTCGACAACCGGCGTCTCTTTAGATCATGCTCAGGCGCAGTAATGGTAGCGGCTCGAAGGCGTTTGGATCGAAGTGCAATGCCTTCATTGCCGGACGTGGGCAAGAGTGGTGGCGGTTCGTTGTTGATCGGACTGCTGGAGCTGGATGATTTGTGGCCTCGTAGTGTAGGACGCCTCAATGACGACCTGGAGCCGGCCACCATGGTATGCACTGAGTTCGGAAGCTCATGATGCTGCTATGGTGATGGCCTGGAATATCCTGAATATCCTCATTCGCGGTGAGAAGAGAGAGATTCAGTTCTGGATGGTCGGGCGAGCCTGCCGCAAGGTGAAGTCGAACCGTGCTCAGTTTCAGGGCTCAAATGGGCGCCTGCCGCGCAAATTTCATGTCTTGCGGCGCCCGCAGATACTTGGTAATGGCCGAACTAGGCACTCTAGACTTCCTACATATACACAGCAAGACGCCTAGATTCCATCCTAGCATGCCCTGCATGTTGTACACGATCTCGTTTTGCCCTGTACATGCGCTTCTCCGTAGCTGATCTCAATCTAGGTTGTAGCCGACAGGTCTATGCTGATGGCCGAATGCACGCGTCATAAGTACAAAACTGTACAAAGCAAAAACGGCTGCGTGTCTGACGGTGGCCCAGATTGCCTCCTTGCGTCCATAACGCGGATGATCCTAGGTGTCCTGAACGCCCCTTTCCCATGCGGCTTGTATTATTTCTCCCTGTGCTTGCCTTCAGAGCTCCCAGACCTCGACCCTGTTCCTGTGTCACTACTCGGGGTGTCTTGATATGTTTCTTCATCACTGTAGAGGTCGTCATCACTCTCGCCTGCAAAAGCGTCATACAGTTCGCCACCTCGTCGAGCTCTCCCCTTTCCACGTCCTCCCCGGGAGGTCAAGCCTTGTTGCTCATCCTCATCAACATCGCCAACCATCTCAAACTCGTATGCGTCGCGAGGATTGTTTCGGAGCCTTTTCCTCCGCTGAACCAAGAAATATATACCCAGACCAATGCAGAAGATAATAATCAACACGATTGAACCGTAAATCCAAATCTGGGTGCGTTTTGATACGCCGAATGTGGGGAAGAATGATGGAAGAAAGCCATCCGAGTATGCCTCAGTCGGTTCACCTGTCATTGTCGCTGTTGCAGCAGGTACAGAGACAGTGTTGGTGGCGGTGACAATGACGACAGAATCTGTTGCCCCGGAAGGCTTAGGCTTGGTAGGCCGATCAATATGGTCAGTAGGTGTTGATGGAAGCTCAGTGGCGGGAGCGCCTGGTTCCACACTGGTTGTGCTAACAACGGCAGTGGTAGTTTCATGGTCGTCGTCATGTTCATCAGGAAGTGGGTGAAGGGTTTGGATTTGGGGATTGATACATTCGCCCCATAAATTCAGACGCCAGTCGATGAATGTCCCGTTGAATTCGTTCTGTTGAGAGTCTTTGACGACCACGGTCCAATTGCCAATCCCAGACTCCCCCCTATCATGTCGTTAGCCTCTGCCCAGGTAGAATAGACATCTCCTAGAGTCGGACTTACCAATGGACGACTGACATGAAGGTCCAGTCATCATAGCCTTCTGCAGCTCCATCTGGACCACGAGCGGTAGCGAGATGACTGACTAATCCATTGGGACTGATCAGATCTGCACTTAGATCGCCTCTTCTGGTGTGCTCAACGTTCATAGTCACAGTGACGTGTTCGAGTCTTTCCAGGTTGGCCTTCTTCAGCATCTCCTCAGTAACCTCGAAACTTGCAGCCAGTCCTTGCTCGCCTTCTGGAATCTTATGCTGAACGCTGAGCCAGGGCGAGTAAAACCAAGCTTGCGGCTTCACAGTCTCCCATGACTTAGCAGCCTCAACGAATTTGTAAGCGTCGACCTTGCCATAGCCGTAGACATGACTGAATCTCTTGCCGATGGTCGTATTCTGCCAGCTCCCGTCGTCCTCATGTATAGGGATAGCGGTCTCAACACAAAGATACTGCAGATCTCGCCAGGTAAGGTCTGGCCTGACGCTCAGAGCAAGGGCCACCGTACCTACGACAAGAGGTCCCGCGGCAGATGTCCCGCCATGCCCGTTGTAGCACTTGTCAACCCCAACATCGGTGGTGTGAATTGCGTCCTGATGACCAGAGCTGTAAGTCACAACCAACTGAGCGGAGCAAGCTTCCGAGTAGTAGGGATGGTTGCCAGCGCGGTCAATGCCTCCGACGGTGATGCTATAAATACTGTTTGTGTAACCATCAAAATTGCAGTTGTCCTGACTCGCCGCTCCGTTGCCGGCCGCAAAGACGAAGACGGATCCGAGACTGTTTCGGCCGTTCTGTATCCCGTTCACCATGGCTCGTTGAATGAGGATACCTGGGGCTTCCATGGTTGCGCCATCATCCGGCGGACCCCAGGAACAAGAGTAGATCTGATTATCCTGGTAGTGGTAGTTGATGGCTATTGCCTCATCTTCGTCAGTGATGGGTTTCGACAGAATCCGAATACCAGCAACTTTGCTGTCATAGGCCATTCCCACTCCGCAAACATTATTTCTAACAGCTGCAATCTCTCCCGCACAGCGTGTGCCATGTTTGTCGTCAAAAAGTCGCGGTTTCGGTTCGGGAGAATTGTCATTAAAGTCCCACGAGCCCTCCGCATAGTAATTGTCCTTAAGATCGTTGCTGTACATGTCCAGTCCGTCGTCAATGACTGCAGAAATCGTGCCATTACCAGTTATGCCCTCAAGCCAAAGGCCTGTGACGTTCAAGTCGTGACCTAGTTGCAAAGGGTTGAATAAATGCCACTGCTCCTTGAAGATAGGATCTTTGATATTGAGTGTTTCTGCGATGGTGTTCAGGCGCTGAATAGCTTCTTGTTGCGCTTGGTCCGCTGACTGGCCCAAATTCGAGTCCGCTGCCTCTTGAGGCACACGGACGGCAGGAAGGGGCGGCGGAGGGATTCGCTTGACATGGCGATGGCGCAACTGCTGCTTCTCTGACCAAAGGACGCCACTCAAATCATGGTGTATTTGTGTTTCCGAAGATGGTACGCCTCCGTTATTCAACGACCGTCGCTTTCGCTTCTTCCGCCTCTGTAAGTCTTGTAGGGAATGCTCCAGTTCTCGACAAGAGTTCTTCGGACACGAAAAGGTATAATGATGGGCAAGTTCCCCAATCTGACCTTCAAATTGTAGCCCTAATTGACGGGCAACCTCTTGAGGGACTGCCGAAGGGTGGAGATGGAAGGCAAAATAGTCATTTTGTTCGTGGTCACGCCATCTCGCTTGGGCAATCCCAGTCAGAAGGAGCAGCGGAAGCCATGCTGGCAACCGCATGGTAATATAGGTGAGGCGGAATTACCCGAGAGCGTCAGGCATACCTCGCCAAAAGAGAGGATGGACTCGCCGCTCCCAAGGTATGAAGATTTTGTAGGTCTCGATGCGATCGACGTGAACCGACTCTGTCAACGAGGCGCAGTTCTTGCCAATGCGAAAGTTTTGATCCGCGGCGAAGTCGGACAAGAAGAAAGTCGATCTGGCGAAATGTCGTTTCTGGCTTGGAGTGGAGGATCTGTAAAACGTGGGACAGGTTGACTGCGCGACGCTGCTATTGTTCTGTTCGACGTGTCGACGGTCGTAGTCAAAATCGATGACTGGCGCAAAATCAAAGAATGGCTTAGACAAAGCGAAAGAGTGTGGTCATGTCTTCATTAGGGGATAACGGCAATCAACAGATATGTGACAAGGGTCTACTGGCCCTTTCTCGTTGACTGAAAACACCAGCGGCAGAAAAATGCTCAGGGACAGTGTGTCTCTCTGTACGAGGTACGTCAGATATAAAAGAAAGTTAACCCGTTGCCTGTTCTAGAGGATGGGCATCTAGACCGCCTGCAGCGACACAATGCGCAGCGCTGGTGGCGCGATGGTGACGGAGAGTGCCTATGCGGTAGGTTTGCCGCGCCCCCAAGTTAAGCTACTCCGGAGATATTCCTGTGGTTTAGGCGCCACCAGTGCTGTCCAACGAATTGTCAGCTGAGGCCATTGGCTGTCGACGGGCCCTAGACGTCGTTGGTGGCTCTGATGGCTCTTAACCAAGCGGCCCGCGCCCGGCAATGTCTCGTCCCTCACTCCCTAACCATCCCAACCAGCCTGTCGCCTCGGAGCTGGGCCCCTCTTGAGTCTGTGACGAATCCGAAGCTCACTTGGTCCCGGGACGTCGCAAGATCTTGGAGTTGGAGTTCCTCGTCTCGCGATTGACGTGGTCGACAAAATTACCACATTTTACCAGCCACACAGAACATGGACTCCTGGGTACGGAGCATTTCTCCCTCCTTGACTTTTCTACGTCTGTCAATTTGCGGTGTCGGCTTGAAGTGATCCCTTTTTCTTGTACATAATGACATTGTTGAATTGAGCCTTCAAGTCGATTTCTTGGTGTTTTCATCATCGTTGTGGTACGACCTCTATTCTCCATCTCCATGTGAACCTGACAGGAACAGACACTTTATGTCCTCTTGAACTTGACTTTCCAACTCTGGCCATCGCATTGAATGGATCACAACTTGTCATATTCATCCAGCGCCGGAATGTTCTTGTCCATGGCGGCCTCCGTCTCCGGCGTATGTTTCTAGGTCTCTTCCTACCGCAAAATCGACGTTTTCGGCAGCCTAGTCCACGATCTCGATCGACCCGACCACCATGGCTACCTCCATGAACCCCGTCGACCTCTACCACGACCCGGCTCTCGATTCCCTTATTACTCAAAGCACCCCCCGGAGCAGACAAAATGGCGCAACTCGTCGGTACAGTGGGGGACAAGGCAGACGCCCACTTTCTCAAAACTTGAACACCGCAGCACAACCTCTTCCTGCTGCGCCGGAAGTACCCCGCGGGCCACCCATTTCCTATCGAGGGTATGGTCAGGGCGCGGACGCCGGTCTCCATCGATCCTTCTCCCAAAGAGCTAAAGGAAGACCATTCCACAGAGAAGCATTCGCTGACTTAGACGATGAATATGCTGAAGAAGTCGTCAAACCTAAACAGCGCATAGTGTCTGAGCCAGAACGCCGGGAAGCCATGGCCATTGTGTCTCGAAAACCAGCACCGCCCGATGGTTTGCGACTAGACACAGATCTCAATGGCTCAAGCGCTACGGAAATACCAAGGAGGGACATTGAGTCAACCCGCGAACCGTCTTACAATGAGCCAAAGTCCAATCAGCAGCCTCGCCGGGTGTCTGATACACCGCGCCGTGTCGAAGAGCCAGTATCAGCCGTTAGCAGGTCGAGTGCTTTCCGAGATGAGGCTCATAGAAGGGATTGGGCCCCGGATCGATCCCCTTTGCAGAAGCTGGAGGTCACGCTCAATGACATTAGCAAGGAAGAAAAGCGCGCAAGAGTGCAAGAGGCTGAAATGCTACTGCGAGAACGTGAGTCGAAACCAGCTCGCGGCGTGGTAGAATCACCTCGAGAAGCCGGTCCGGTGTCAAAACCTGCTGTTTCTGCCAACCGATCTGCACCGAAACGGGAACGACCAGCCGATCAGGAAGTACCAACCTTAGAAGACGCAGTTCTGGTTCGAAACCTCAGCACCACCCAGCGACAGCGTCTGCAACACAGCACAATGGTGGACAGTCATCGACCCGACGTACGAAGCCTGTCCGGAGAGGGTCATCCAGGGTTTGAGTATACTATCTCCAGCCCGCTGCAAGCCGCTCATGCCAGTCAACGCCGCCAGTCAAGCAGCAGGCATCGGCGAGCAAGTGAGCCTAGTCAAGACGGTCCGGTCGCCTCACCTTTCCCGGTAACTGAGCAAACCCCCGCCAAACCAGAGAGAGTTCGATCTGGGAAACAGCGTGAAGTCCCCCCGATGGGCGAAGAAGTTGGGCCTTTGGATGATGACGCTGGGCAAGCGCTGACTCGCAATATTGAAGCCCAAACCACATCAATCCCTGGGCGGGACGACTTTTTGGAGCGACAGAGGAATGCATCTCATAAAGCAGCGTTAGAGAAACTCACTGGTATATCGGATCCCGTCAGACTTGGGCGAGGTGGCTCACGGAAACTCCAGAAAGTTGTACCGGAAAGTGTAAATGAGAAAAGTGCTTTGGCTGGCAAGGTGCCAAGCAGAATACCTGTACCAACCTCAGCAATCACCAGTCAAGCTCGCAGAGTAGAGCATCACCATCAATTTGTCGCAGCTTCCATAAATGAAGCAGAGCAAGCGCAACATCGGCCACATACGCCGCCCATCGGCCCTGGGCTTCAATCTTCACCCCACCCAAGCAGCCCCCAGTCACCTCCAGCGAAACCGGTAGACGTCATACGTCAAAGACAACGAAAATCTAGTGTATCATTCAAAGAGCCACTCAACAACCGACCTGTCGATGAATGGAAAGAAGCCGGGACAGCAAGACTTACAGCCATCGACTTTTCTACAGAGACTGTGACCCCAGCCGATAAAGGCAAGGCTTGGTGGGAACAGGCTGCGACTTCGTCTGGCCGCAGACGCAGCAGCAGATCGACGAAGGTGGCTGATCAACCCGCATCCGGAGATCATATCGACGATAAAACTGCCGAGTTCAAACCGAACCTCTATCTGCGGTGCGGGCCATTGCTTCGCTACAAGGGTATGAGAAGACAGAAAAATGGAAAGGGTGAAGAACGTGAATTCTGGCGAGGGAGTGTCCTTATTGTGACTCAAAATTCCCATTCCTCATACGATCCTGCGCCGACCCTACGTCTGTTTTGTCAACCAAAGAAGCTATTACCACCTCCGCCTCACCATGTCACTGCTGATGAGCTTCAACCTGAATATGTCGACCCGATTGCTGGCTTGACTAAGCTCTCGAGGACCGGAAAAGCTTTGTATGTTCGACCCGTGGACCATCTCGAAGAAGGGAAAGATTTATCACAGGTCGAAAACGATGATGGCCTCTTCGAAAGCTCCCCAAGCCCGCTGGAGCATAATGGGCCTCAAGGTCTGGTTTCATTCTCAAATTATCGCATCCTTGACACGGATGGAGAAAGATTGGGAAGATATCAAGAAGTAGCGGGAGCGCGACTATATGCAGACCCCGACCGTGATGTGACCTTCTGGCGATTTAATCTTGAGATAGAACTCACCGATGAGCAACAACATATTGCTTACCGCATCAATCGTGGTCCGTCCGTCGGTTTCTGGGTGCCTAGTCGTGGTCAGACCATGCACATCATGTTTCATTCCTGCAATGGATTCAGCCTTTCCGTTAATTCTGACAACTTCAGCGGACCAGATCCGATGTGGAGAGACGTTCTCAATACCCATCAATCCCGTCCGTTCCATGTTATGATAGGTGGTGGTGATCAGATTTACAATGACCGTGTCATGCTCGAGACCGAACATTTTGGCGAGTGGACCAGGATGAGGAACCCAGCTCATAAACACCACGCTCCGTTCACACACGAAATGAAGGAAGAACTTGAAAGCTTTTATCTGAACAGATATGCCATGTGGTTCTCCCAAGGCCTTTTCGCCATGGCTGCTAGCCAAATCCCAATGGTGAATATATGGGACGATCACGACATTATCGATGGCTTTGGTTCCTATCCAAACCATTTTATGGAGACTCCAGTGTTCTCGGGCATTGGTAATGTTGCATTTAAATACTACATGCTCTTCCAGCACCAGAGCGTTCCCGAAGAAACCACCGCACATGAACCCAGCTGGGTTTTGGGTCGACAGCCAGGGCCCTACATTAAGCATCTTAGTAGGAGTTTGTTCATGCACATGGGAAGGCACGTTGCATTTCTGGGGCTTGATTGCCGCACAGAAAGAAGACGCAGTGAGGTGTTGAGCTATGACACCCTGGACATCGTCCTGGAACGATGCCGCAAAGAACTCATTGAAGGAGAAACGAAGCACCTCATCATACTGCTAGGCGTTCCCCTTGCCTACCCTCGCCTGGTTTGGCTGGAAAATGTTCTCACCAGCCGATTCATGGATCCTGTCAAGGCCATGGGAAGAGCCGGGATCTTGAAAGGCAGCTTTCTCAACAAGTTTGATGGTGGAGTCGAGATCCTCGACGACCTTGATGATCACTGGACTGCAACTAACCACAAACATGAGCGAAATGACTTGGTCAGAGATCTACAAGACCTTGCGGCAGAGAAGTCCTGTCGCATCACGATTTTGAGCGGAGACGTTCACCTTGCTGCAATCGGCCAATTCCACTCAAATCCCAAGTTAAAGATTCCCAAGGACAAAGACCATCGGTACATGCCAAATGTGATATCTTCAGCGATCGTGAACACGCCACCATCAGACATGCTGGCCGATATCCTGAACAAGCGCAACAAGGTACATCACTTGGACCATTACACAGACGAAGACATGATCCCAATGTTCACCCATGATGTGAACGACAAGAAACGGAATAACAAACGTTTATTGCCCCGTCGCAATTGGTGTTCAATTCAGGAGTACGTTCCAGGTTCAACCCCTCCGCCTTCGCCGTCAGAGAGTTCGGCAATCTTCGAAGATGAAGATCTAGAGGAAGATCCGGAACCTCGCCCTCGACGATTCTCCTTCACGAAGGCAGATATAAATCCAGGAACTCTATTCCGCCGACTAAGCTCAAGAAAGGCGCCTCCTACGTCATACCGCGACACGATGTACAACCAAGGCCGCTCAGCGTCCCACGACGGGACAACACTGTCTGATGGGCCTCCGTTTGCTCAGGAGCGCAATGCGAGCGGTTCCCGACAAGCCTCGAGTGAATTCCAGGCTCCTCCAAACAGGCGTGCTTCTTCGTTTTTCCACACTTCTTCCGGAGTTCTACTGCGCCCAGGCCCGTTTCAACGCCGTCCCACCAATTTCTCAGAAAAAGCAGCTAGGAAAGGGAACGTACCAGCCATCGATGCCGAAGGGAATGAAATCGATGTCAATGATCATATTAGTCTGGAAGGAGGTCTTGACGTGGTCTTGAATGTTGAAGTCAATCAGAAAGATCCATCCGGAATTACTACGCCTTACAGGCTGCTTATTCCGGCTCTTTGGTATGACGGTAGCTCTGATCGTGAAAAGCTTGACGACGCCAGCGGCGTTCAAAGAAAACCGACACTATTGAACAGATTCGGCATCGGTGGAAGAAGGCAGAAGGCCCCAGGGAACCAACAGGAAGGTTGGGACCAGGAAGAAAGTGAAGAGGATTATGTTGAGGACTCGTATGCCCTCAAAGCAGGAGCTGCGCCTCGGCGAAGATTTAGTCTTTTCGGAAGCCGCCGACAAAAGAGGGAGGATTATCACAGTGATGAGGAAGAAGACGGCGAGGACCAGCCTCAATCCCAGGGCACTGGGACAGGACAGTCTCAACAATGGCGGCAAACGGACAATACTTTAGGGCCTAACTCTGCGCCGCAACCTAAAGACACCGGTTACGAGCTATCGCACAACATGACGAGACCACCTAATCACGACATGCTGTATGACACAGAAAATCGGCCACCACCAAGTCATAGTCTCGAGCCTGCGGTCCACCCAAGTATCCGCCGCTCTTTGACAATATCTGGTCGTGGTATCCAGCCTAACGGGGGCGGAAGAGCGGTGGGGAATGTCGGCGGGAACCCGTCTGATCAACAGCTTCCTTCGTCTCAAGCAATGGGAGGAAGCCAATCTTTTGTGCCCCCCTCTCCAGGAATACCGATGATCAACTCCAATGCAAGCAGAGACCCACCTCCGCGCCGTCTCAGCAAACATGAACGTATCCTAGGCATTTCGCCTTCTGAACCACAACCCTATGGACCCCCACAGCAGTTGAGAGGCAATGGTATAATCGGGCGAGACTTCAGACAGGCATACGACCAGGCAGATTATTACGAGGGGCCTCCAGCGAGGGGATACTCTGCCATAGAGGCGTACAAAGAGCCAAAGCCACGACGAACATTCAGCCTGAGAAAGCCGCGATGGCTTGAGGGGAGGAATCGGGAGGAGCAATATGATTGAACGTCCACACATTTGGAACGAAGGATCACCACTCATATTACGTTTCTAAGAGTGCTGGTAGCCTACTCGGTACTTTTGGGTTTGGAATTTACTTATCGAATCTCGATCCAGGACAGTCAAGCGAGGAACTCAGGGATGAGGCAAGCGAGGCTACGAGGGTTGCTGCACCATTTCTTGATTGGTCAATTTGCACAGTGCAGGCTGTATAAGGGATTTCCTTTCCGTATCATTGTCTGAGCGTACGCGAACTTTGAGCGCTTAGCGTTGGAGCTTTGTACCAACTTAGTTGAGATTCAATGCGAACTTTTAATTCACGAGGACAACATACTCGCCTTGCACGGGGGTTTACTGCAGCTCCACGAATATGTACTTGTATACGTGTCACCGGGAAGTCGTCTGGTCTAGGTTTCTCGAGGGGGATTTTCCCAGAATACCGCCCGACGAGAAGTCCACTCACTCCCCTCCCTACCTAGGCCTCACTAGCTTAGGCTGGTGAAGCTGCGGACCCTCTCGCATCGAGCGGGGCGTGAGCAAACCAACTGGAGAAAGCTTCGACAGGGGCTGCAAGGGGTCTCCCTCTTTCCGTACCCAAGGCGATCATGTTCGTGGCAGAAATAATAAACTCGGCTTCTTCTAATTCTTGTCCCTTTTTGCCAATCACTGATCACGATATATTCACACGCTCCCCTCGGGTTGGTTCCCTTGATGCACGCGAGCCGGTTTGATCACGCGGCAGGGTCTCGACCTCAATCCTTCGGGTACGGCTGAGCCTGCCCCCTCGTTCAGTCACACGTCAAGGTGTCAGAGGCAACCAATGGTAAGCGGCTCTCTCAGCCAGCCTAGAAACGTCTCTCATCGTAAGGCATCCATATCGCTGGAGCTGAACTCCAGCCAAGTCGATTCAAGACTCTCTGGGCTCTCTAGGAAGGGGATGGCGTTCCAGTCGTATATGCCGCCCTCTTTCTTCGTTCAAGGCAGCAAGCGTCTCTCCAGCATGCTTGATGTATAAGAGGCACCCTTTCCTCGTCTCGGCTGCTCAAGAAATGCTACAGATCATCATCCGAATTTGTTGCCATTTCGATCCTTGCCTATCAGCCTAGCCCCAAGCTCGACAACAGGTTCAACATGGGTCGCCCACCAGCAAACTACAAACGTCTCATTGTGGTAAGTTCCTGTTCCTGGAGGACTGTTCCATGACTGGATGCGTCATGAGCGCTGGATTCCATCATTTTGGTATGAGCTAATAACAGTTTATAGCTCTGCGATGGTACTTCCCCCCCTCCCCCCTTTTTGACACTACATTACCTCTCAACAGCAAACATTTTCTCTTCCTAAGATTTCCTTCCATATTGACAACATTCTCTAGTATACAGCAAAGCCGACTTTAGAAACTAACTTTTATTTCTTAGGAACGTGGCAGAGTATTTTGAATGTCAACAGTCCTAGCCATCCCACCAACGTTGCCCGCTTTGCTAGAGCTATCAGTCCTGTTGCCATTGTCAAAGACAAGGATGGTGTAGACCGAGAGGTTGAGCAAATCGTCTACTACCAACCTGGCGTTGGATCAGGAATTGGCGACAAGATCCGCGGCGGTGAGATTATTCCTCTGTTGTCTCTAGGACATCTCAAAAATCGCTCGTCTCTCACTTTCCAAGTTTCTGGACAAAAAGACATCACGGCCTGTTATTCGTTACGAGGGCCCTGTGTAGAGTAATTTTCTGATTTGGTAAACAGGTGTCTATGGCGCTGGACTCTCTGCCAATATCCGGGCCGCCTATGCTTTCTTAGCACACAACTACGACCCAAATCCTGGAGACGAAATCTTCTTCTTTGGCTTCTCCCGCGGTGCCTACACCGCGCGCTCCATCGCCGGTCTGGTTACCAAGCTTGGACTCCTAACAAAACGAGGCATGGATTGGTTCCCTCAAGTCTATGATGAATACTACAAGGATCCAACCAGCAAGCCTGATTTCGACTTCTCTCCAACCCTGAAGAAGCTGATCGGTAATGACTTGAACGAAAAAGCCAAAGGCGCCATCAAGATCGTAGGAGTTTGGGACACGGTCGCGTTTCATTCGGAGGGATGGGCCGGTGAAGAAATCGAATTTCACAACGCAGAATTGTCGACGAAGGTTCAGTACGCATATCACGCTCTTTCGTTGGATGAGCGACGAATTCCATTCATCCCTACATTATGGCAGTGGCCGAAAGACCCAAACAACCCGTCGCAACTGTACCAGCCAAGGTACGGTGTAGGTCTTCAAGTGATGAAGCAAGTCTGGTTCTCTGGCGTCCATAGTGATATCGGTGGTGGGAGATATGACCCAGGAGGCTCTGATATAACGTTGGCGTGGATGCTTGCCCAATGTTCCAAGGACAAAAAACTAGCATTCATCGACGAGGATCCCGATCATCCAGACGACCCGAACGAATACTACCTGCTACCAGACCGACTCAAGCCGAACCCGAACAAGCACTGGAGCCAATTGGGACACAAGCTTGCCCCGGACCCAAGCGAGGGCATTGTCGACGCGCTCACTGGCGCAGTCGAGCAAATTGCCGTCGAAGACAGGAAGGCATGGCCTATGGCGAACACTTTCGAAAGGATCCATCGATCGATCCATGACCGCAATCTCCATAACTGGCCTTGTGGCATGCTCGACGGCAGGGACCAGGGCGGCCTCTGGGGGTTGGTCAGTCCTAGTCAATGGGGCAAAGCTCTTCCGGAGTTGGAACGCGACGACGTGGCGGACGCGATAGAGGACAAGTACCGTGGAAGAATCCGTGCTGCACCAGGATCGAAGGGCGGCCCTGCTATCCCGAAGTTGTAAGAAGCGGAAGAGGTTCGCGCGGAAATGCTCTCTGGACCTGTTCTATTTTGTAGCAACGGCCTGCTCCTTTTGATGGAGGAGATATTAAGGATTACTTTTTTTTTCGTTCTCTTCTTTCGGTTCTTCCGAGTAGGATGTCGCCTACCCAATTGACCACTTCTTCACGCTTCCCAAGTCTTGGAAAGGGGGCAGAGTAGTCGGACAATTGCCTTACATACGTTGCGGAAAAGCGAATTGGGCCCCTTCGCAGGTATATGATAGATATGTAGTAACAGTTTACCCAAAGGAAGGACCAGCAAACAATTCGTGGAAGGATTTTCGCACCCATCTCTGACGAATCTTCGAGGCCGCTGTTCGTAGAAGTTCATTCGCGTGGCCACAGCGAGATCGATAGACAACTTGGATTAATCTTGAGTGGCATGTGGCTTGCCAACGGGCTCCGTAAGAGCGGCTCTGTAAGCGCAAGCAAGCGAGACAGGCCCGTGGCATTTTCAATACCCGCTCGTATATCTGTGATGAATACCAGCTGTAGAAGTTCTAAAGCCGGGCCCGAGCGAGACGGTTGATGGGCTCCTTCCGGGCCATTTGTGCCCAAATATTCCCACCCAGCTTTCCTTTCTTTTCAAAAGAAAACGCCGACCTCAGCATGGATTTATTCTGCCGTCCAAAGGTCATGAAATGTTGGAAACAAGGAACATTCTCGAGTGATGTGAGACTCGTATCCTGTGTGTCCGAGGAGCCTTAATGCATCAGGAGATAAGTGTGTCAGGCGTTGGTTGTTGGGGTCGTTAAGCTCCTTGAGCACCCTTGAACACCCTAACCTTCCCCCTTATGTTCAGGGAGGGGGCCGTTGTGGGTTTCATTTCCAGCCCCCTGGCACCGAGCGGCGAGTATGGCTGTCGGCCCCAATCACTCACCGTTGGGATGATTGGGTGAATACGCGCCTCGCATGGTGTGCAAGAGGCTGTGTCAGTTGCCTGCAAGCGCCTGGCGCCTGATCACCTCCCAAGGTTCTTCTTCCTCTCCTCGTCCTTTCCACGCTTTAATATTTTTCTTTTCTGAGAAGCCAGAGGCTTGCGCCCGCCTTCTACGCTCTCTTGTGACAAGCACGTTGCCATGGCGCATGCTCAAAGCCCCCACAACCCCGAGATATATAATCTCGACGACGATGCGGCCTTCGATGAATGCGAGGGAAGGCTGAAGCAGGCAAGAACAGAAAACTTTATCGTCAGCTTTGACAGTACTGAGGCCAAATGCGCGGTAGATGTCGGGAGAGAGGTCGCCCTTGAGTGGCTGCAGGCCGACCGTCGCAATGCAAATCAGGCGCTGTGGTTGAACTTCTGGGCCTCCGAGTCACAGAAGCCCATCATCCAGGACGTGGCGAAGAAGTACGACCTTTCACCAAGACTTGCAGGGTTACTATGCCAGGCTATCACTTCCCCAAGTCCATCGAAGAGCGTGGCTTCCACGGACAGCGATACCTCACGCTCTTCCACATCAGGACAACCGAAAACACCAAGAACACAGACTACCGATGTCGAGAAAGGCGTCCCTCTTCATAACACAGCCTTCCCCCAACAACTACTGCAACAACCAGCAGACTCTGGGGAGCTGGATGGCTTGACTTTTCACAGGGTGGTGCGGAACCTTTGGCATTTCTGTTCCGTCGACTTTGGCCGCCGTTACATTTATATCGGCTTCAACTCTTTGTACTCTCTTCCTAACACCAAGGATGCAGCTCCAGATGACAGTGCACCGGCCGAGGACGTCGGCAACGAGTCTGGAGGCAGGGAAAAGGATGGCAGTAAGCCATCCGGTCAGCGCATCTGGTCATCTCTACTCGTATGTGACGATGGAACCGTCATATCGGTGTTTGAACGGCCCGATGCCAGCGAGCCGCACCTCGTGTCTAGACGAAACGTGCTCAATGTCTTCCATCATCTCTCCAAGCAACACAACCAAGACAGCTCGCGAGACGCCCTGATGAAGGTCCGCGTGAGGTGGAACGAGTATTCAAACAATGCAACAACCGGCTACGACCCAAAGGAGGCCGCCAGCCTTTTATTCTACTACCTTTTCGACGACTGGGTGACGACTTACAGGCTGATCGCCCGGCTTGACCACCCCTATCGGAAAGAGCTGGAAAAGATGCAAGAGCTCATGTTCAAAGCGGCGGACGTGTCTCATGTCAAAAAGGTCCACGAGATCGGCACCCAGCTGACGGTCCTCAAACTCATGTATGAGAGCTACGAATGGATCGTATCTCGCCTCCTCCACAGCCAACGGTTGGCAATGGACGCCAACAGTCTACTCCTGTCTCCTCAGAGCACATTCCACAACCCAGATCTCAAGACTGGTAGCCACCAAAGTCCGGGAGCGCAGCTGGCCGCTTACGAGGAGGGCTTCCTCGCCGATGACTCAAGATCCAACGTGAAGTTGAGCTTCTCGGCAGTTGCCCGCTTCGAGAGACTCCTGGGCAGGATTAGACTATATGCGCTGACCGAAATTGACGAATGCATAAAACAAAAGGAGTCGCTTGTGCTTATGGTAGGTGATTCCCCAGCCGGTGATTGTTTGCTTCCCCCTCCGCTAATGCCATGATGCAGAACTTCAATTTGGTCGCCTTGAAGGACTCCCAGGCCGTGGAGAGGCTCACCAGAACCACGATCCTGTTGGCCAAGGCAACCATCCTGTTCCTCCCTGTCAGTTTGATGACGGGCTACTTTTCTATCCAGTTGCCTGAAATCGCCGAGAAGTACACGCTCAAGACATACTGGCTCTGTTTCCTGGTCGTCAGCATCCTTTCCATACTGTTCCTGGTGGTCTTCGGCATCACGACCCACACGTTGGAAGGCCAGACGGTATATCGATCCATCACGAGCATCGTTGGGAGCGCCATTTTCGATGCAAGTAAGAGAAAACAGAAAAAGCAATAAGGCTGCTGTCTCATTGCCCGACACCGTCGGCTCTTGGCAACCAAGGAATCATTTGTTTCTTGGAGCTATTCCACTTGTACGCTCCACCCTCTCCGACATTATATCGATAATAGTTTTCCGTGCCGGCTGGAGTCAAAGCTCGACGCAAGGTAATGTTGATCCGACCTCTGTCGGCTTCCCTGCCCTTTCGTTTCGGAATGCTGTGCATCCAATTCGACTGTGTCGGGCCACGCATAAGAACCATGTCACCGCTAGCCAGTGAGAGCTTGATGTCCTTGGTCTCCAACTTCGGCTCGCCGTCCTTGGGAGGTTTATGCTTCATCAAAAAATCCCTCTTCGCCCCCAGTGTGAAAGACGCAATGGCTGGCTCTGGACCAAGGAACCGCTCATCGTCGCTGTGGAACGAGATGCTGTCGTTTCCCGAGGCATAATAATTCACCAGACAGAAGTTGTACTTTGCGTTGGTGCGTGCTTCGGTCACCCTGCGGAGAAGATCCAAGCACTCCGGAATTGGTCGTGGTTTGCACTTGTATTTGTCCCTTCGAACTGTCTTGTTCGAAGGGTCCGCAGCCTCGACGATGCGCAAGCCGTCGTGGCCATCTAGGAAGCGACTCGTCTCGTCGATCCCAAATACCGTGGTGTACCGGGGTGTGTTCATGAGTGTCTCCTTGCCGAACCGCTTAATAGTGTATTTGACGCGGTAGAAGAACAGTTCGGAGCGGAGAAATTCGAAGAGTTCCTTGTCGATTGATTTCGGGACAAATGGTTGAAAGTATAACAGGTCCAAGTGGTGTTGGTCTTTAATCTCCGTGGCTTGGGCAGTACCCAGTAACTCGATTTCCGAGGCGACATGAATGGGCAGATAAGAAATGGGCCAGGGGTACGTTGGATGATCTGTCGTTTTGGTCACCGACTTCGTTGGAGGGTTGTTTTCTGCTCGTCCTTGTATAGGCGCGTCCAAGCGCGTCTTCTTTGGCGTCGAGAAGTATGTATCTAGAGTGCGCTTAGCCATTAGACCTTTTTTTTTACCTTTGCACCTTTGGTGGCGAGGTAGAAAATCTGGACGTGGCAGAGGGAGGATGGGCGGTCGTCAAGTAGTACCGGCAAGGGGTACTCGGTACAGATTGAAGACGTCATGATGCCACGGCGCGGCGCGTCGTCCGGGCGCGTTAAGTATGTGTACCCAGTACATGATTAGCCGCATTCAAAAACTAAGTGGCACATGCTGACATAGGGTAACGAGATCGAAAGAGCTCAATGACGACGAAGGGGGCTGCTATATCAAACATGGAAAGCAGCATAACTTGGATAAAAGGAACCACTATTCCCGAAGCTAAATGACAGGCTTACTGTCAATGAAGCTCACCTTCAATCTAATAATGAATCGCTTTACTCATGGCAGAACCCTACTTTAGAATTCGGCTTGACGGGTAGGAGCTTAACGCGATACCCGCCTTTATAAGAGCATCTTGGGCATACCAGGAAAACCGGGAAGTGTCTCGGTCAAACGAGCGGGGTTTCGTTACTCAGAACAGCAAACTCACCCAGGCCCCAAACTCGCTCACGGCCGACATTCTATTTGAATACCCATTCTCTTCACTTACAGACTGTTAATCCGAATCGATAATAAAATATCGCTTGTACTGCCACCATGGGATTCGAGCCCGAGACATATTACCTCGGACCAAACAAGCATTGTCCAAACAATGACATGCCAGTCTTAATTTACCGAGACTGCCTCCCTCTGCCGCTATCAGAAGCCAGAACCACCGAATTCCTGGAATCTCATGCCTGGGAGAAGAAGGGGACCTGGGGTCATATCGCATATAGGCATTTTCACCCCAACACGCACGAGTGCTACGGTAAGCACGAGTCTCTCATTTGGGGGGCTGAACGCTTCGACCGGCTGGGTCTGAACTTGCACAGGGGTTTTCCAAGGCGAATCAAGAATATTGGTCGGTTGCGGCACGAATGATACAGCAGGAGGCCAGGAGATCGATGTCCACGCGGGAGATGTAATTGTCCTTCCTGCAGGCACGGGACATTGCTCTCTTCAGAGCAGCAGCGACTATAGGTATATTGGAGTTTATCCAGAGGTAAAGCAGCACCCGTCCTGGGAATTGATGCTATCTTTCGACTGATGTGCTCACACGGAGTTGTTCAGGGAGCCCCGAAATGGCGCAGCGAGTTGGGAAAAGATGAGGTTGGTGACACTTTTCGGCAAGAGATCCAGGGCGTGGCCTTGCCAGTGCAGGATCCCGTCAATGGGTCAGAGGGACCATTGTTGAGGTTGTGGAGGAAGGCATGATTGATGCCTGGTGAGCCTGGACCAGTTTTGCAGTAATTCTTTACTGGATTACATGGATGAGCATCTGGTCCTCCGTAGTATTCTTCGTATAGATCTGCAATTCACCGTAGTAGCTGATTGCTTGATTGGTATTAGTGCCTTGGCATCTAGGTCGGGAGAAAAGAGACTCTTGTTTTGGGCCGGACTTGGGACTTTGCTAGTCTACCTGAACAAGAAGTGAAGAAGCTTCTAATGCAACTATCGCATGGCCAACATCCTACGTCGGCTTTTCTCGACCACTCAGCCAGAAGTCTCCAGCGCCACAGCCAAAAGAATGAACCTCAATTCTGCGGATCTGCCCAAAATTTTCCTCCCGCCAGTCAATCGGTCCATGCAAACGCTGGACAAATCATTCTTTCACAAAGTCGTGCCTTTAGCGGCTGCTACCATTTCAGATATCAAACAGATCACCAATATCAGAAAAGAACTCGACAGGTCCCGAGACTTGCTCAGGATAAGTCCGATCAAACCTCTGCGAGAAGATGAGTCGGTGCCGGGGGCAAAATGCCTTCTGCTTAGGCCTGAGATTGACGCGAAAGGTACATTAGATGAGTTTTAGCCTTGTGAAGGAGTATTGACAGGATGAACAGAGCCGAAAACATGGTCAGCCACCGTCGAGAGACTAGTGCAAGACAAACTTGCCAGCCTTCGGGACTACGATCTAACACTCACTTACGACGACTGGACTATGCGTACGTGAGTCGTCAGGCACGAGCTCTGTGATATTCATATCCGAAATCTGACATCGTGGGCCAGATAACATTCTCGAAGCGATTCTGCCTGAGATCCCCGAGGAGGAAAAAGAAACTCCAGCAGGTTTTGCCCAGGTAGGTCATGTTGGTACGTCTCTTACCCTCCGACTTTTATACCTCGTGCTGACGATCCGCAAGCTCATGTCAACCTTCGCGAAGCATATCTGCCCTACAAGTATATAATCGGGCAAATCTTGGTCGACAAAAATCCCAACATCACCACTGTCATCAACAAAACATTCGACGTCGGCACCGAATCCGTCTTTCGAACATTTCCGTATGAAGTCATTGCTGGTCCAGATGATCTAGATGTTACAGTCCACGAATCTGGCTGCGAGTTCAAATTCAACTTCGGCAAAGTCTACTGGAACTCCCGTTTGGGCACCGAACATGCTCGTGTTTTTGAATTGTTCAAGGAAGGCGAGGCTGTCTGCGATGTTATGGCTGGTGTAGGGCCTTTTGCCGTGCCGGCTGGTAAGCGCAAAGTCTTCGTTAGAGCCAACGACCTAAACCCGGACTCGTATCGAAGTCTTCAGGATGCCATCAGGTCCAACAGAGTCGGTGACTTTGTTTCGGCCTCTTGTGAAGATGGCAGGGAATTCATTCGCACCGCAACCAGAGAATTACGCGACAATCCACGAGAAGCTCGACTGCCTTCGAAGTTGAAGATATCGCGGAAACTGGCCAAAGAAGATACACAAGCGCTACGCAAAGCCGCCGATGCAGCAACACAAGTCTTGAAAGAACCAAATGTGTTCTCCCATTATGTCATGAATCTGCCGGCTAGCGCCATCGAATTCCTCGATGCTTTCCGCGGCCTTTACTACTGCCACAAAGCTGAATTCAAACCACATACCTCAAAAGCTTTGCCATTGATTCACCTGTACTTGTTCCAAGCTAAGCTTGCCACGGACGAAGAAGAATTCCAAGAGATCTGCGAAAGAATATCGGAAAACATCGGGACTGAAGTCAAGCTTGATGACCCGGAGCTGGATATGCAAATCCGATTTGTTCGACTTGTTGCGCCGAAGAAGAAGATGTTCTGCGCTAGCTTTCGGATACCGGCGAGCGTTGCGTTTGCAGAGCCTTGAAGCATTCTGCCACTGTTTGTCACGGGATTCCATCGGAACAAGGCACTGCAGCCCTCTGTCGTGGTTATATGATGGCCCTCTGGTCACCGCCATTCCTCATTGACCCCTTGTTGACTACTATTAATCAGTTCCCGCATCAAATACCGGCTATCTAGACTCGGTTGCACAGTCGACCCGATACCTTGTTTATTTGTTGTCACTAGGTTGAGTCGCAGATGAACTGTCTTCTCTCCCATTTGCCCAGACCTTCGCCGTCACATTTGCATGGCAGCTGTGTTAGTCTCGAGGATTCTGTTAATGGGCCAAGAAAAAGGTCTTGAGCAGAAGGTCTGGGCTGGGGGTGGGCTGGGAACTGAGTCTCAGTCTGAGAAGATCCGTTGGACACCTGTTCAGTTTGCGATGTTGGCGGAAAGGGTGTATGGGCTGTGGCAGCTGGCTGGAAGGAAACATACCCCGATGAGTTCGGGGAAGGCGGGACAACGGTATGTACTCTGGCCAGGTTGGCGAGAAGGTAGCCCGAGCTGTGAGGACTGGTGACGTCGTGATATGATCTGGTACAACCGGAGCTGTCATGACCTCTGCAATCCTTATGAAGTTGGGCTGTGGCGAGAGTTAGTGCTAGTAGCCATGGTACTTGTGGGCGCCGAGACAGAGATGGTGATGGTGATCGAGCACGGTTCAGAGGCGTCGATCTCGTAGTATATGGGCGTCGGCTTCGACTTTGGCTGGCTCCTTCATGAGACGTATTGGACATGTCTGCTCTTCTGACTTGACAAGATTAGAAGTGCAACGATGTTTCTAAACCCCGAATGGGAAGAACGAGCCCCGGACAAGGAATATATATATATAGCCAGTCAGCTCGGTCAAGCTCAGTCAGAAGTTCAAGATGTTCTTACCTGCTCGGTCACCTGTCCAAGTCGCAACTCCCTCGCTCGTTCATTCGGTCCCTCAGTCGCCCATATGAGGTCGCTCAGTCAATCAAGCCAGCCCGTCACCTATTCATGGCCGAACCCCAAGTCGACCCAACCACACACTCAAATCCCACCGCCCAAACGCTCAAACGGGGAGGATTCGCTCGACTTTCAGACCGGCTCAATCCGAGTATTCGGGGACATTGAATAGCAATGGCCTGATTAGTCCGTCCTAGAACAAAACAACGTATCTTACAAAGGGAAGCTGCCCCTCGCAGTACCTCAGTCTCGCAGGGCTCGGATAGGAGTCATAGGATATTATTAAATATTTTGTTGCAAGCAGAGATCATGTAGCCTGCTAGCTTACCTACTTAGCCCTACGAGACGTATCAATAATAATAGCCCAGCCCTCCGCTCATCATGTATCGATCGTCCATCCTGTCGTGGCTTCCGCGTCCGCTCCCGCTTCTGCTCCTGCTCTGGCTGCGGCTCTGGCTCTGGTTCCAATTCCGGTTCCGGCTCCTACTGCGCCCCCGCCGTCTCCTCTCACGACGGTCCTGCGTCTCGCTGTCTCGGGTTCGAGCTCGCTGTTCGCCCAGTTTCCTTCGCACTTCACGGATCGCGAGCGCGGTCCCCGCCGCCACTAGCGCACCCTGGATGAAACTCGTGCTTGTGTCTCTCGACTTTGACCTTGAGCGGGCTGCTCGGCGGCGATTTCGGCTTCGGCTTCGGCTTCGATTGCGACTGTGATTGACACGGCTCCTCCTGCAAGTCGGGCCGGGCAGTCGCAAGGGCGGCGGCGAGTGTCCACTCCGGAAGCCAGGCTGTTCGCCAAACAGGCCTCGAGGCGGTGGCGAGGGGAACCGAAGCTGGAGGAGCCCAAACTGCTCATCATCAGGCACGAACCGTACCGTGGATGGCGATCGCGGATGACGTCCTGCTGCGGAACGGTCCCGTTCGTAAGATCTTCGACGGGCGGGGTTTTCTTCGTAGAAGGTGTGCGGGAATCTCGTGTCCTGAAGAATCGGCCGAGGAGATGGAGATGGGCTTCGACTCAGGATCCTCGGCGGGAGGAACAGTGGTGAAGGCGATCTAGGAGGACGACGACGCGTCCGGATCACGCTCTCTTCCTCCTCGCGGATTTGTCGTCGGCCGTCGGGGCCACGGACTGTAGTTCTGGTGTAGGTGGTTTGCTTTTTGGTCAAGAGATGATGGTTAGTCTGACAAATGCAATCGGTGCTTGGAGAGACCTACACGTGAGAGGATTGGGTTGGGCATTTTGAGAACGGCTCAACCTCATTTAAGACTGGATTCAGTCCTTTTGCCCGGTGGTATGTGGAATAATATCCTCGAATTGGCTGATGTTTGGGCCAAACGACTCGATACTCCGATTTTCGGATAGGCTGAGTACAGTTGTTCTTGGTTGCCAGCAAGTCCAAAAAACCATCCTGAATAGAAACAGAGACAATTTAAAGAAATCGCTAGACTCCCATCACTGGATGCCCCTGCCGTCACTGCAAATCGCAAGTGTCGACGAATCAAGTGAGAGATCGCGGTGACACGGTCTGAAAACCGGAGCAATGCGCCTGCAGGTGACCATGGGCGAGAGGAAGCCGTGACAGCAGCGCCAAACGAAAGACCGCAGAGGGGTAACAGCAGCACGCAAGCAAACCATAGAGAGGACAATGTAAGACGAAGCTGTGTTTCTTAATCATGGAATGGTCTCTGGATCTTCGTGACTCCTTAGGGACATTCGACAGAGGATGATGGGACTAGTTTTCTCGAAACGCCTCGAACTGGCTATCCACATAAAGGTTGTTCTCATTTCTCGTCATTCCGTGAAGCAAAATGCAAGGTGGCATTGGACTCTCTGCTTGACCCAAAGAAGCTGAAGCAGGAATCGATACACTTGATGGCTACAGGAGCCAGATGCTCACGCAATGAGCCATGGTACCAACCTAACCAAGCGCCATTCATTGCCAACTGCGATACTGGCTTTGGAGGAATGAGTGGCTTCCATTCCATTGCCGCTCGTGACGTTTGCAGAGCGGACGCCGAGGAACAATCTGGTCCAGAGAACGGTAGGAGACGAGCTGCTCTGTAAGACTCGTCGCAGTAAGTATGCATACTTGACAGCGATTCAAAGGATGAGCGGGAAGAGACTGAGGCACTCGAACATCGCCTGGCCTTCTCTATATTGTATAATGTGGAATTTGAACATGGGTCAAGTTCTGCTAGCCTAGAAGGGGACGAGAAAGGCGACCTAGGAGGTTCATTCCAGCCTGGGTGGATTGTCGAGAGCGACTTCCAGGAAGTTCCAGAGCTGCCGGTAGAGATCGAGGAATGCGAGCTCCTCCTCTCTAAAAACAAAGGCGTTGTCAATGGTGTCTCGATTGCTTCTCCTGTTGTAGACAATGGAGAGCTGCATTCTGGCTGCATTGAAGATAGAGATCTTGGTTCTGTTCCTGATTGCGATTCCTCGGGCGACAGATAAAAGCACCTCGGAAATGGAGGTCTGAAGGGCGCCAGGGGTTCCATCAAGCAGCCCGATGTCTCTCTGATGGAGACCAAATCCACAATTGTTGATGTCATGACGAGGTAAATCGCAGGTTATTAGGATATACGATAAGGAAGTTGAAAGACGACCTGGGATGCTGGATGAAGACAAAGAGCTGGTGGTTATGTGAAGGGACTTGGTGAGGAAGCTGTAGGGGGTAGGTTGTAGAAATAGTTAGACACCGATTTGTAAATGCTTCATTTTCATTGAAGGCCCCTCGTTCATCACTGTCACACTCTTAGCTGCCGCTCATTCGTTTCCTCCTCAAACGTATTATCCAGATTTGGCGGACCTCAGCGCTTGGGCACATTGTGAAGTCCCCACAAACTGTCCAACTGGGATGATTACGTTGTTGGGGAGACATCGGTGAGAAATTGGGTTTCAGCAATAGGTATCATTCCAAGGTCCCCATGCTTCCTCTGGAGGTGCTGAGGTCACCATTGTGGGCAACCCTCTGGAAAACCGCATGACCGCATCTGGAGTCATTGCAACATATGGTCAACCTTTTGTTCATCTGTTTGTGGTGCGGTACCGTTTGCACCTAGGCACTGCCTTCATCGTCATTCGTGCGACTCTGTAACAGGCGGCTGTGGCGTTGCAGAAATCATGTGAGGTGCCCTCTGCCTATCGAGCAAGGTGTTGAGTGACACTTGGGAAATCCGTGCCCTTCCATGGACGGGTGATAGGTTCAAAGCTGAGCCTGCCTCTTGAGCCGCTGTAGCTCCCTGCAAATACCCTCCAATTCATCCTCGGTGACCACACCATCCTCAACTTTTTTCTCCAAACTCGGAATCAGCGCCTTCGCCTCGTCCGAACATGTTGGCACCAGACTGCCCAGCTGAGACTTTTCAAATCTCTCCAAATTTTCACCGTATGAGTTGATGATTCCTTCCACTTGTTGTGCCTCGGCCAGGTCCTTGAAGACTGCGAAGATTTCCAAGTAGTCGCGCGTTTTAGCGGTGACTTCGGTCTCCTCAAAACCACCTCCACGAGCCGCTCGGGTTGCAAGAGTCTTTTGTAAGATGATTCGCGCTTCGGAGAGGTTGAGCGTGACTTCGTTCTGGAATTCGCCTAGTTTGAGGACCGCTCCGGCTTCAAGGTCAGAGGTTGCGGTGGGAGCAACACGCGAAGGGGCAGCGTGGGGCATTTTGTGCGGCGCGGGCTGACACTGTCTGCAAGAGTAAGAAAAGGCACGTTGAAAGGCGAGAGACACTCAGTTTGTAGTAGACCTACAGGTAAAACGAACATCAACAGGAACGAGCGAGAACAGCGCAGTAGCGGTAGCGCAGCCTCGTCGAAAAAAATAATAATCCGACCCCACTCCTGATACGAGGCTGAGGATTAAAGTACCGCCTCGCCGAGTACCTCGTATCTTGATTTATGGAAGCACTGGGTATTATTCCGCGACATAAGACTTAAGATGTGGATACTCGGTACATATATCGTCCGCTGAGACTCTCACAAATGTGAATTCATCTACTGTTCCGACTTTCCAAAAGAGGCCCCAAACCGAGGCGTGCAATCTCAAAATCCCTAAGGCCCTTGACTTTTGTCCATACATTCCTGGTCCCACAATGTCATCCATCATTCTATAGAACCAACAGACCAACACCGGCTGCGACCAACAGACCCTTAGCGACACCGAGGACGGTAGCGTCACTTGAGTCCGAGAGTTGACTGACCCCAGTTTGGGAAGACGAAGAGTCACTGGTGGTAGCGGTCGCAGCAGTGGTCGGAGTGCTGAAGACCAGACCATCGGTAGGCGTCGCGTAGGTATAATCGGAGGTAGTGGTGTCATAAGAAGAGCCACCAGAGCCGCTGCTGCCATATTCGCATTTTCCAAGAGTGCTGGAGCATGAGTATCCGGCGTCACAGTAGTCTGATAGAGTCCCAATGTTAGCTGGTACCACAAGATCAAAGCTCTCAAAGAGGCATAACTTACATCCTCCGGCGCAGCAAGATTCACCAGCGTCCGGGTTATAGCATGAATCTGTACCGCAAGGAATATTTCCGTCACCATAGAGATCAGCGCAGCTGCTTGCTGTGGTGGTGCCATTGCTACTGCTGCCGGAACTTGAGCCATCGTCGGGGCAGGTATCATACAGAGGATCATTCGGATTGTAGCAATGGTATCCATCTGGGCAGTCGAGATAACCGGCGCCAAAGCATGACACACAAGTCGCTCCGGCCTGGTAACAGATGTCGTCGATGCCGCTGGTACTAGTTGAAGTAGGTTCCGATGCGGAAGCGGTAGCAGTTGTGTCAGAGCCGTCGGAGCTGTCGGCGGAGCAAGAATCCAGGCCGTAAGTCGCATCTCCAGGCAAATAGCAGTAGAGGTCGCTTCCCGGGCAAAGTGTATAGCCAGCTCCGAAGCATTCCTCACAAGTTCCTATGCAGCGCTTTTGGAGATCTCGTCGCGACATGAGCTTGCTGGTAGATGTCGGCGTCCTGGTCCGACCTGAGCCGGGCAGACCTTTGAAGACGGCATCACTTTGGGCAGTAGCCAGGAGTATGAGCGAAGAGAAGAGAAGGGTTCGAGTAAAAAGCATCCTGGCGGTTCAAGAACAAGCAAAAAAGGAGTGACTTGAAAGAGCGACGGGAATGTAACGAGCGACGAGAAAAGCAAGCAAAGCTTTGGTTGAAAGGAAAATCACTGAACCAGAAAATAATCGTCAAGCTAAAGGAAGGGTGTCTGCTTGATGAAATATACCTGGTGAGCCTAAACGCAGCCTTCATCCCTCCGTTAGAATAGCTGGAATACGGATACGTCCCGTTTTGCTCGGATGTGACTACCCTGACCCCTTGTTCATGCTTTTGAAGCTGCTGAAAGTTTGGACCGACATTCTTGGAAAGGTTGCTTTAGCAAGAAACAGGCCACTTCAAAGCCGGAGTGAAAGGCGATTCGCTATCAGAAGAATGGTAGCTCTTTCTTTGGACAGAAGAAGTAAATCAGACGAGGCACTTCGTCTGTTGTGGATTGTGGAAGGACAAATCCGAAGAACATTCAGCCCAGCAGGGTCCTGTAGGGCAGATTCCGAGCACTGTACCCGGTACTCTGGACAGGGCCAACGAAAGACAGAGTTAAGATTTGAAAAGACGATCATTGCCAGTCTCTTCTATAGGCACAGGGGCCGGTGTCACAATTGATCGCATCAAGCTGCATCAAGCAAGGGCGCGAAAAGGAAATGAAGTCTGTACTGGTCTGTCTGGGAGAATTGCAAAGGGGGAAAGTTTCTTGGCGCAATGCTTGGCAATTGGGGGCGGATTCTATCGTTTGTCGAGGGTGACTTGAGGTGACTTGAGGTGACTTGAGGTGACTACAGGTGACTACTACCATTCGTGATTCCTTCTTTCTGCCAAGTCAAATCAGGTCATATCCAATACTAATGCTCGCTGCCAGTAAGAGAAAGAGGTGGCGCGAAGGAGGAGGAAATAAAATGCGGCCCAATAATTCAGTAACCAAGCCGTGAAAAGGCGTGATAAAGGTAATTGTACTCTCATGGAATAGATACATTCTGCTTTCACTAATGGCAATGCTTGCGGTTACCGTACACACCTGGTCCAATTTGCCGAATGTCGCCTATTCGGCACGGTGGGCCACATCTGCTTGTTGAAGTGGGTATCTTGGTACGTTCTTGTTCCAAATGAGTTGGTCTGGTAAGGCGTACTGCTTTGCTAGATTCAGGGGCGTCGAGGCTATTATATAATTGAAATTGAGCACGTGAACAGATATAATAGGATGGTCCTTGGATGGTCTTAAAGCTCCCTGCAATCACTCGTACCTGGCAATTTGCATTGGACAGCAAGGGCCCGAAGAGACACCTCGCAGCAACCAATGGCGAACTCGACAAATGCTAAATCAACGATGGGGCGAAGACAAAAGGCGCACCCTTTGCTCTCAGACCCCAGCCTCACAACCTTTGGCGCAAGGCTGACAGTGGCCAAAACCTAAGGTGACCTCATTCTGTCCATGAAGCAGATTGAGCCCAGTGGCCGGGGCTCTCTCTGATTTGTCGGAAGTGAAAATTTCTCTCTTGAGCAGTTCTCTTTTTCTCCCCTGAATCTCTCCCAACTACAGGATGTAAGGAACGGACAACTTCATCGCCAGGATCTGTTGACGCCACACTCAGTACAAACGGGAAACGAAGAAGAATTCAATTTATATCGTGCCAACAACGGATGGGTTTGGTTGTCGCTCTTAGAACCTGATAGGGGGTCATGTGATGGATGGACAAGGCGTTGAGGAGGAATACTGCACTCCACCAATGCAGCTCGTAACTAAATTGCTGCCACAATTGTTTTGGCAGCGTGGCTCGATATGCTCACTGGTGGTCAGTCCGGGCTGGTCCAACATTCTCATCGCATCACTGGCTGATATTCAAACTCTTGAATTCCTTCGTTGTGTTTGTGATGGCGGTTTCAACGGGTAATCTCTCCATGCTACTTGCACCATAGAATCCATGGATGCCCTTGACGCGACTGAGCACATGGTCTGCGTCCTTGGGCTCGGCTATGGGACCTCCGTGACAGAGGATGATGATTTCGGGGTTGATTTTTGTCGCGGCGTCTCTCATCTCCTGAATCAACTGGACACACTCATCCAAGGTTTTTCCAGTCTTTGCACCTATACTTCCAGAAGTGGTCAAGCCCATATGGCACACCAGGACGTCTGCGCCTGCCTTCGTCATTTGTTCAGCTTCGTCAACATTGAAGGCATATGGCGTGGTAAGGAGATCCAGCTTATGTGCTTCGGCAATCATGGCGACTTCCTTGTCGAATCCCATGCCTGTTTCTTCAAGATTTGCTCGAAAGGTGCCGTCAATAAGACCGACCGTGGGGAAGTTCTGGACTCCACAGAATCCCATGCTTTTCAACTCTCGCAGGAAGGAGGGTATGATCCGGAATGGATCCGAGGCACAGACACCAGCAAGGACTCCGGTTTTGTTGACGACAGGAAGGACTTCCCTCGCCATATCGACGACGACGGCATTGGCGTCTCCATAGGGCATGAGGCCAGCGAGCGAGCCTCTCCCAGCCATTCGAAAGCGACCCGAGTTGTAGATGATGATGAGATCGCCGCCGCCAGCCTCGATGAACTTGGCCGACAACCCGATGCCAGCTCCGGCTCCGACAATCGGCTTACCATTCTTGATCTGGTTCCTGAGATGGGCGAGGACTTCGGCTCGCGAGGACGGGGGGGCCATCGTTGGGATTACGGTTGATCTATGTACGCAGAATCAATCGGACTTGGGCTCATCAGTGACGTGGAAATTGTCGTGATTCCGGCACAACGGCGGATTCGCCTTTGTGCACGTACACGTCATCGTCACAGTCATGTTCGGTGTCAAACCATTGCTGACCATTCCCATTCATGCGGAGGTGGTGGAGAGGCTGCTGGTGGTGCGGGGGATTTAAGCGAATGGTAGCACAGCTGGCGATGGTATCCAAAGCCCACAAGGAGGGGCAGCAGCATGACCGTATATTGGACTAAGGATTGGATTGGGAGGGACTGGTCTGTTCCACACGTCCCAGCTGCTGCGTGAAAAAGCAACAACCTCGAAGCTCTCACGGAAGCTTCTTCAGTCCAAGCCTCTTGTCATGACCCTTGGTGGATAGCCGCTTCTCCTTTCAGCCTCCCTTGTACCTAACAGAACCCGACGCCTTGAGTCACTTCCTCTATACCTCATCATGGTGAAACCCACCGTGCTCATCGTCGGCACACCTGACACTAAGCTCGATGAAATCCTCTTCCTCAGGGAGCAGATCCTCATCGAGGGGACGTGTAATACGAAGATCCTCGATGTAAGTCACAGCCTACCTGCCAAGGTGAGGACGCAGTTGGACAATCTTCCTTCGGGCGAAGTGATTTCTCCTCTTGAAGAACACAGCTCGACCTTGAAGGAACTTTCTCGCGGCGAGTACATTGACAAGGCCATCGAGCTATGCACGCCCATGGTTAAGGACCTGGTCTCCAAATCAGCTGTTCAAGGCATTGTCTCTGCAGGCGGCAGTAGCGGCTCATCACTTGCAACAGCCTTGATGCGCCATGCCTGCCCCGTCGGATTCCCTAAGATGATGGTGTCGACCATGGCCAGCGGCGACGTCAAGCACTACGTAGAGGAAACAGATATTACCATCATGTACAGCGTGGTTGACATTGCAGGAGTCAACTCGATCCTCAAACGGATCCTGTCCAATGCTGCTGCTGCCATCGCCGCCATGACCGTCTCTTACGCCAAATCCCTCGTTGATGCTTCTGCCGTTTCAGCTAAAGGCAAGCGGATCGCCGTCACAATGTTTGGCAACACCACGCCATGCGTCGATGCGGTGCGCCGCATCCTGACCTCGGCACCCCACGACGCCTCTGACTACGAGATCTACGTCTTCCACGCCACCGGTTCCGGTGGCCGCGCCATGGAGCGTCTCATCGCGGAAGGACAGATCGATGCCGTGATCGATTTGACCACCACTGAAATCCCCGACGAACTCTTCGGCGGCGTCTTGACCGCAGGGCCGGACCGGCTCGAAGTCGCCGCAAAGAAGGGCGTCCCCATGATTGTCTCAGTCGGGGCCTGTGACATGGTGAACTTTGGCCCCAAGGATAGCGTGCCGGAGAAATACAAGGACCGGAAATTGTTCGTGCACAACCCGGCCGTCACCCTGATGAGGACGACTCCGGATGAGAATAAAAAGATCGGCGAATTCATCGTCAACAAACTATCCACCTACGCCACCAACCCGGGCTCAATCCGCGTGCTGATCCCGGAGAAAGGGGTGAGCATGCTGGACGCAGCCAAGAAGCCCTTCTACGACGAGGAAGCCGACAAGGCGCTCTTTGACACGATCCAGGAAGGTCTCGAGGGCACCAAGATCGAGGTGGAGAAGCACGACTTGCACATCAACGACGAAGCGTTTGCGGGCCACGTGGCCAGCGCGATCCTCGAGGTCATGGGCGTCACGCAGAGGAATTATCGGCTGGCCAACGCGAGACGCCGGAAATGGAGCTTCGACCACGGCGCGTCTGTCATGCTGGCGAGGCGGAGCAGTCAGATCGAGATCCCGGACGCTTAGAGATGCATGGATGAGACTTCTCTATCTTCACCATTCTTGGAAATGGAGGAGAGTGGACAGCTCAAATACGGATCCCTGCGTTTCGAAGCAAGAACAAGAGTGTGAAGCAGAGGAAAAGGAGAGAATGGGCTCAAGAGTGCGCATCCCAGAGCAGTACGGCGTGGTATCATTCAATCAACGATGCTTCCGTATTCGCTCGACGTTACCAAACCTGATATCTGTATTATTCTTCTGCTATGTGGGGCTTGGTTGGCTTGGGCTGTGTTGCCACCGTTGTGTCAGGTCGTGCAAAGTCTGCCAAATCATGAACGAAACGCTGTTTGCTAGCTGGCTCGTCTCTTTTGTTTACTTGGTTCGTCCTTTATGAAATACCCCTACATCAATGCGAATGTCAATGCGAATGTCAATGTCAAGGATCGAGTACAAGTAATAAGTATGAAGAATCGCGTAACAAGGATGGGGCACGGGTAAGACAATACAAAGATCTTTAAAGACAAGGGCAAAGAAAAGAGAGGAAGCGCGTTATGGAGCTTTCGAGCATCATAGACTGGTTCTTCAGGTAGTTAGTTAGGTAGTCCAAAGTTTTAAAGGGCTTCGGAGGTCGTCAAAACAAGTATGTATCCAAGGGGGTGTGGTACTACTGTAGCCTTGTGCAGCGAAAACAAAGGTTGAATATCCAACGCTCTTCCCTCTGTCTCTTCTTGTATCCCTCTCCCGCATTGTTTCCTCCGCATTATCGTCTGATAGTACATGCTACCTACCACGCCGTCCCCTCCAGATTTGCCTGCCTCAGTTTCTCATAGAACGCCCCGGGCCAACCGACCATCTCCTGATCACTCGGCAGACAACTGACGTCCTCACCCTCCTTACACACAATCTCGCCCTTCGATTTCATCGCCTCCTCTCTTCGTCGACAGTAACCCACAACGTTCCCGATAACCCTGCCCAGCATCTCTGGCGAAATCGCCACAGGGTTCAAAAAAGGGTCTGTTTCGGATAAGAGCTCTTTGATGGTGGGTCTCAGGGATTGTTCTCGTGTCAGGCAACGTTTCAAGGTCTTGATGAGTCCAAAGGGAACCACGGACCCACCGATCCCTGTTGGAGGAAAGGAAATCTCGACCTTCGGGTTGGGGATGGACATGATGCGTTCGAATTGCTTTTGGATATGTGCAAACGGGGGTTGTCCGTAGGTCATTTGATAGAGGATGCATCCTAGGCTCCAAACGTCGCTGGGCTTACCCAGTTTGAGGAGTTTCGTGCCGGGAGGCTGCTGCGATCCTGCAGCGGGTGTATGACAGACCAGCGATTCTGGAGACATGTAATTGGGCGTGCCAATTTGATTTTCTCGGTGCACATTGACCGTGTTTCCTTGGATGGCGTTGGCGATTCCAAAGTCGATGAGTTTCAGTTGACCCTTGACAAGGAGAAAATTTGCCGGTTTGAGGTCTGAATGAACAATGTCGTGATCATGCACCGCCTGCACACATTCCAGCATTTCTTTCCAATAGTGCCTGGTGAAAGTGATGTCCAGTTTGGCGTTATCTGTCTTGAGTTGCTCGTTCAGCATTTTGTTGAAGTCTGTTTCGCCCAGCTCCATCATGACGCTGAGCACGCCCTTTTCTTCATTGATCTCATAATCGTAAAGTCTAATAACGCGATCCACGTTTTCGAGCTTCTTCAGTAAATCAATCTCACCCTTGTAGCCTACAATTGCTGCCATGTCGGCTTCCTCGAGATTGACCCTTTTGAGAGCGAAGATCTTGTAATTCTCTGCCATGATCCGGAAGACTCTTGACGAGCCGCCACGGCCTATGCAATCTAGTCGCCGATATGTTTTTCCATTCAAGACATAGTGGACAGACCTCTTGTTGCGAGAGCCCGCATTTGACGTCGCTGTATCTAGGATCGACATCTTTGGGGGTGGAGCTGGCGCCGGGCGGTGAGGCGTATTATTCGACCGCGGAGCAAGAGGCTGTCGAGACGGAGAAGCGTGCCCTGATGATACAGGTTCAACCGGCCTTTGGTCCAATTCAGCACCATCTTCGTGAATGTCCAAGATTGCGGCCGACGGTTTGCTCCTTCGAAAAGTTGGAGGCGGTTCGTTCTCCTGGTCTTCTGACGAAGGAAGGGCTGGCAAAGGTGGAATTTTGAAGAGAGGTCTCCTTTGAGCGCTCGATGACTTGGAAGAAGGTTGAGAACCTCGCACAGCAAGTGTAGGTTCCGCTTGCTGAGCTGATCCCGGTCTTGGCGGCGAAGGATTTCTTGAGAGGGCTCCGCAGCTCTGTTTGGGGGATGTATTCAGTGGGGAGGGTCGAGTCGGCTTGATCTCTTCAGGGCTGCCTCTCAGAGCAAGCAAGTCGTCGGGTAAATCGGGCAAATCGGGCTCTTTCGCCCGTCGACCCGTCTCCATCTCAGGCGTGATGGGGCGTAGCTGATCTTGGTGTTCCATATGTCCATATTCGTCTTCGCTGGGACGACGCATCATGCCTCTCCTTACAGGTTTGTTAAGCAACGCTCCTCCGATTCGCCGGACTCGCATTGTACTCTGGGCACCATTTTCGTCGGCTTTCCGAGATCTGGTAATTGTCGACGGTGCCGTAGCATTTTGCTCTTCGAGGCTGCCTCGCAATGCACCAGACTTCGGGCTCACCGACCTTTTCGACGTTTCAGGTGGCTGTTCGACTTGTTCCCCTTTTGCCGCTTCGTTAAATGGAGATCTCGATAGCCGTCTGGCGTCGCTAATGCGGATGCGTCGAACTCGCGGTGCCGGAGTCTCTGAATCTTGCGGTACAGCAGGATCGCCCGCTGTCGGCCTGTCATGGACTTTGTACATAAATGACCCGTCTCTGCCCAAGATACCAGGCTGCCTAGGGCGAGAACCTGAGGTGACTCGAATGACCCGCGGCGCAGGACTGCCATCTCTTTGTTGAGGTGGGCTTGAAGACCTGAGCGTTTCGAGAGGTGTTCCCCTGCTTCTTCTTGCTTTGGAGGAACTTGTGCTCGACGGCTTTGCATTGTGTACTGCTGGTTCCATATTCTCCTTCTCAGGACCTAGCTGTTCATTGTCTTCTCCCAGTATAGCTTGTGCCTCGGCACTTAATTTAATGGGCGCAAGATCTTCATCATCGGAGCTGTCGCCCGTAATGCTCTGATCGAACTGTTGCCTGGTGGCGGGCGCGGCAGATGGTACGGGTTGAGCTCGTGTTGTTGGGGGTCGGGTTGTGGTTCGGTGCGGTCGACGAGAATTGTTGAGGGTGGAAGCCAATGCCGCCGGGGTGGGCGAGATATAAGCAGCCATGAAGACCACTGTCGTTATGTATTGATATTGTCGGACGAGTGCATGATCGATGTCACTACTGTTGCAATCGCTTTATTTGGTCGTAAAGACGCGCCGCAGTTGTGGATTAAGCTAGAAAGGGGCACGTTGGCGGCGGCGGAAAAACTTCGGTATTTCGACGCGTTGACCGGGCAACACGGAAACATAGTCCATTCATTGAGTGCCAAAGCTTCGTTATGATTAGTATTATGCTGTTCGAGGTACACCAATGGTGGCCTCTTTTTTACTAGTATAATGCTCTGCTTCTCGGCACCAATGCCATCCAACAGCATCCATAACAGCGCCTTTGCCAAAATGCTCCCACTGACTTTTCGACCAAAATTTCCAACCGAGACTATCGGCCTGGGTCCAGCTATCCGGACAGATAATTTTCCAAACTCCCACTAGACCAAAATCTCTTTCCATGAGAATACCTCAAAGCATGAAGCTGAAGCCGACAAAAATGCCAGCTGCGACGACACCGAGACCGTAGATCTGCCCAACATCGACAACGAGTCTTGACGCAGCAGAGCTTCCGGAGCCACTGTTTCCTCCTGAAGCAGCTGTTGTGGTAGCAGCGGAACCACCCCCAAAGCCAGTATAGATGACCCCGTCCGAGGCAGTAGAAGCGGCCGAGCCCACAACCGTTGAGGTAGCTGGCATTGTGGTGATTGTACTTGTGTTCACTCTTGTCGGGTTGAGGGCACCACATGGATGATTCTGCACGCATGCAGCTGCGCAGCTGTTGTCGTTGCCGCAAGCCTGCTGACATTGGGTGTTGTATTCCGTGCAGATATAGTAGGGGAGGGTTTGAGAGTATTCTGAGGCATTAGGAGCGAGCCCGTTGGAGCAGATGCAAGAGTAGGTGAGGGCAACAGGGTCACAGGTGTTTGCGTAGGTGGCCGCAGAATTGCCAGCCGTTTGCAGACAAATGAGTGGGCATTGAGCTATCTGTGAGTCGCACCATGACTCTATCCACTACGATTAGCAACATAGCAATATATGGGTTGGTAACGGGGTGGACCACTCACGTCTCGTTGACAAAGGCACTGAGTTCGGGTCAATGGTCTGTGTAATGGCCAACCGGGCCAGGACTGCCAGCGCAGCTGTGAATAGAACGTGTTGCATGGTGATTAAGAAGACTGGTTTTGCTTGTAGCAGCAGTAGATTACTATGTCAATGCAAGGTTGTTCGTTGCCGGAAAGTGCCAAAGTAAAGACTGGACGAAATAACGAATGTCAGAGAAAGATGTTGCTGTTTTCTGAGAAGAACGAGAGGAAGAAGTTTTTTGCTTGAGAGAAGGAGAAGAAGCAACAGCAGCAGACGAGGGCATAAAAAGGGCGGAGGAGGCAAGGGTGGAAGGGTGGGAGCGAGAGTGGTATGCCCTTGTATGCCGCTATCCAACCACCACGACCTGTTCGGTATGGCGTTGAGAGCCGCCGTTCTCGCGCTGGGGTCCATGCAGCTGGCAGGATCTCTTCCGCCACCACTGCTCAGAACGGGTCCATCTTCTCCAGGGCTAAGAGATTCTAGCCCATCACGCCCATCTCAACGCCTTCTCTTTTGCATGTGGCCTCCCAGCACGAAAGTTCCCGAGTGCATGACTGTGGCACAGATGGGTGCGGCGTGAAGTCTGATTTGTGAAGCCGGTTCACCTGTCTCAGGCGTTGACAGAAAGTCCGTGGTGTTCGGCGGAGCTGTCAAGCAGCTTGTCGAAGGTCAAAGGTGCATGTTGCCCAATCGCAAACGGGTTCTTGAATTCCGGGGGCTCCACGACGCGCAATTCCAGCGCTATGGTGGTATGGTGGTGGTCACTGGTGACAGTGGTGAGAGCTGGTTACTTTAAGGTAGGAGTGAAGAGACGAGGTTGAGGAGCGCAGAGAGCGATGCACATCAGTAGCCCGTAGTCTGCGCTTTACGACGAACACCTTATTAATAACCTACACCTGTCCTCGCAGTTCTCTGTCTTCCATTCTCCCACACCCCTTCACTCGTCACTCTTCCCTTTCCTGCCTAAACACGGTTAGCGGTCAACAACAAAGATGGCGCTACAGCAATGGTGCCAGCACCTTGCTCAATCCTGTCACTTGCATTGGTGCCTTCTCCATCTTTCTAGGTAGCTGCGGGTTTTTCGGCCTCAGTCAACCAATTTTTCTTTTCCTCCTGAAACATCTGCTGAGCTCGTCACCTTAACTTTCCCTCGATACTTGCATCTCAAAGTCCTCTCTGGAGGCGGGGCCATCTGTTTCTCGGTTACACCCCGCTGCTTGACTATCCTATCCTTCACCTTAATGCTCCGTTGCTCGCAACTGGCTACGCTAAGATCCCCCCTTCAGGTGTCCCCTAAGATCGGTCTGCAAGTACGGAGTCCCGAGTACAGACACATGCATGGAGAATCTCCGTTCCGTTCCCATCGCCGCATTGGACCCAGATCAACAGCGTCAACGCTCCGTCGTTTCGCCCGTGTTTGACCACGCTGAACCGTCTGGCGAGCAGCCTCGAAGCTCATCTACTCCTCCGCCGTACTGGCAACCTAGTAGAGAGCCGTCCTTTGATGAGCTGTCTTCCACCCGACCGCCTCCTATCGCTCTTGAGGATCATACCTTGTCCCGAGAGCCCAGCAGAGCAGCACTCTGGGCCAAGTCAATTACCATCGATGAATATGTCATTGTTCAAGGGAACCCAACAGGTGTAGGTGCCTATGTGGTATATAACATTAATGTCCAGACTCTCGATGGAGGGCCCATGACAATCCGAAAGCGATATTCCGAGTTCGATGAACTTCGAGCCAAACTAGTCAAAGCCTTTCCCCAGTCAACCAGGTCGTCACTTCCACCTCTTCCCCCAAAGAGCGCCATTTACAAGTTCCGGCCCAAGTTTCTTGAGAAAAGGCGAGAAGGATTGGCTTATTTCCTCAATTGTGTTATGCTTAATCCGGAATACGCGGGTTCTCCCATTGTGAAGGATTTCATTTTTCCTCCACACGCATGAGGACAACCGAGTTGGAGGCAGATCGAACCTCTGTTGTCTGGCATCAACAGCGATGGAAAACCGCCCTTTCACCGGCGATAGCTCCTGGATCACGGCTTCTGAGCATCGTGACCCCAGTTCCTTAGACTGCGGAAAGCTTTGCTGTTACTGTCTTGCCCGGTCTTTTCCTCCTGCGCAAGGTGGCGTTTGTTATAGGCCGCGACCTTCCTCATATGCGCAATGTCTTGCTCATCATACTTGGAGGGGTCCTTGCCTGGATTCTTCCTCGAGATCTCAACGATCTGCCTTCCACTATCGGCCAGGATAGCTCTGATAAACATTCATAGGCCTGGAAAGGACCGGCGCTCGCGATTTGGCAATACAAGATCTAATCTAAACCTAGGAAGGCTCGACTCACCTTTCATGGCCAATGGTGTCGCCAGAGTCATCGTCCTTTGACCAGCCCGGCTCGCGCGAAGCAGACCCCTCGAGCCATTCCTCCAACTCATCAGCAGTCATATTGAACGTGTCGTTGAAGTCCCTGTTTATGTTGAGCTGGGGCTTCAAGCACGATACATGGCATCAGCTACTCACTTGATCACATCATTACTTTTGACCATCTTGGGATCGGCTGTCCTTGAATAGGGGCTACACAGCTAGGAAACGAGTCCAAGTTTGTATTGGAATATAGTGATAGTATCTCATAAGGTCAATTACCCTGGCAAAATGTGGTTCGTAGGTCTATCCACACAATAGAAGAGGCCGTAATGGTCATGCCTGTCGTTTGTTCGGTAATATTAGTTGGTTACGTCATGACTTGACTTTTTGGCTCAAAGCTCTCGAGTGGATGTTGGTGCGCGCTAACGAGGTCAATGCGCTCCAAAATTCACAGAGTCACGAGTAGCGAGGCTACGAATTGAGCATGCTGTCGGAACGGAATGTCCGATACTCTGTGACACTTTGACGTAGTGAAAGGAGAAATTAATGGTGATGAGCCAGTCCCATGCAATTAGCCGGCGGCATGCGAAACTGGGCGACATTCCAGGCATCTCGTACTCGATATACTCTAATTGAAGCAAGGAGACAGATCCAGGGGGAATGCACGAACCCATGAGGACGTCGAGCAGTATAAAAAGCTGCCTCATGGCTCCTCCTGCTGGCATGAGATGCGTCCTAGGATGGTCAGAACGATCGAGACTGGTTGAATCTCGGGCCAATCTACGACACAGAGGACATCCGGTCAATCTTAATAGTCGAAGTCCCACCGTGGTGCCCGTTGCTGTCGCTATCCTGCCCTAGCACGAGCCTGTTACCCTAATGACGGGTCCCTGCGCAAAGTCAAATGCAACGGCACCCTAATGTGGCATGCAGGTCGGCACTTGGGTCGCTTTGCAGGATGATATCAGTAACCAGAGAGGAGATAGACGTCGATCTGTTGTCTACCCCATATATACCTAGGTACGCCGTCCTTGTTGTTGTGTTCAAATCTGCTTGAGATAGCGAGCACTCGATGTTCTGTGTGCGGGCTTGGCTGCTTGCGTGGCATCGATCGAGTTCTTTGCGGCTTCCGTGGTGCTGATCTGATAGGTGGTGTGTAGTTGGCGCAGTCTCTTGCCCGCTTGACTCGAGACTCACGAGGCGGTGCGTCGCCTCTCATTCAAGCAAAAGACAAATGGGCATTGGCGGACTGGAGAAATAGCTTACGATCCTAACCCGAACAAGCGGGTTGGGTTTGGACTACTCGGTAGAAGGCCAGGTCAAGGCAGGTCTAGGGCATGCGGCGTTGATCAGCTGCAGGCCGGGACTTGTCTCATTGGTGTTTGAGACAGGCTTGGACAGGGCATCAAAGGCCAAGTTTGAGGTAAGCCCAAGCCCCCCACAGCCTAATGAGCCTAAAGATTCGGACCGCTATTGGGGGGCTCTAAAGGTAGGCAGCAATTGGCTCCATGGGCACCGTGGACACTGGACAGTGGTGCCCAGCAGTGGATGGCAGTGGGTGGTCCCTGGAATTTTGGGCGCCACCAACTAGCCCAAACCCAACTAAACCGGATTCTCGCTTCTAAACTGCTTTTTCAAGTCACGGCTCGACACGTCGCGCTCCCCCAGCAGTGAGGCTTCGAGCCATTCCTCCTATCCTCAGCGTTATCACATTTCTTCACTTTTTTTGTTTCGCTTCTCGCTTTCGCCCACAAAGAAAAAAAAGGGCTGTCAGTCATCCCAGGCGATAGCGGGATACTGCGGCCTGTTACGGGCTCGAGCCATTCTTCGTTCACCTTTTGAACCCGTGCCCAATCTTTTCAATTCGTTGTTTCCCACCCAAACACCAACTTTTCAGCCCGCCAGGTCGCTGGACAACGCAGCAGCAGCAGCAGCAGCAGCAGCAGCAGCAACAACAACTACTCATCGTCTCCTATTTCTTCCCGCTTCTTCACATTCGCTCGCCCTGTTGGATTCCAAATTCTTGAACCACCCGAGTGCCTCGACTTTGCCGCTCACCGATTCGCCCAATGCCGAGAGCCCCCTGAAATTACGCATCTTCAGTCCTGCATATGCAACTTGCCTGACTGCGAGGCATTACCACTCGCCTTGTCACCTTGTCGTCACCTTTTGTCCATCTTCCCGCCTACCATCTCTCGTCCTTAGTCACTTACATTTTGCGCATTTGTCACTTTTCCAAACACCATTTCCGCCGCCTGGGTCATTAGTTGATGGTCGTCGGGCAGATGAAAAGGAACCACGAACCTACTCTCTACCATCTTTGACACATTGGTACCATGCCATTCTTCTCAAAGGTCTTTAAGAGCAAGGATGGCCAGGTCAAAAAGGCAGCGGCGCCTGTCGCAAATGGAGACACGCACAAGAAGCCTCAGTGGTCAGATGCATGGGCGCGCACGAGGGTCGATCCCGATGAGGTGTCTGAGCTGCTGCATCTGTGTACCGCCGAGCTGAAGTCGAGAGGTCTGTTGCCACGGTCACTAACGAACCTGCCAATGCTTACTCTACCATAGCGCTCGACATCCCCTTCTTACTACTACCATTTCGTCCCTCGTCGGACCCTTCCGCCGCAAGGACTTTCGTGCGCAATTTCTTTCTGCCACCTCACGATCGCGAGCCTCTACGGGGCTCCTTTTTGGAAACCGAGCTTCGTATGACGGAGGTCATGGTATGCCGGCAAGGATCACATCAGTATTGATACTCTGCTGACGACTGCATAGGTCCTGATAAGTGTTATGAAATGGTGCTGGGCCCGCTTACCTGGGGGCGTTGTAACTTGGGAGGTCTATGAAGCATTCCGAGTCGGAGAAAAAGGTCAGACAATATGCCAATCCGTCGTGTCACACAGACTGACGAATCCAGACTCTGGCTTTGCGCGCGATGCGTTCAGTACATTCATTCCAATTGGCGTGGAGTCGCCAGCCCGTCTTCAAATCATACAAGACTTTTTCGACCTTCTTGCCTCACTTGCAGCACATGGCAAGGCTAATGGACTGGGTGGCTACAAGGTTTCGAGATATGCCGGGTGGTGGGCGTTCGAACATTACGATGCCGGAAAGGGTTTCGAGTCAGGGTATCAATCATGGTCAACGTGTGTAGAGTCTCTCGAATACCGCTACACCTTGTTGCTGACTTCCACAGTGCCGCCGACGCAACGGCTCACCTCTTCTTCGCATATCTGCGATCCATGTCCCCTGCCGCGGGCAAAGCAAGCGGAATTCTGACCCTTCCAAGGTCACTTCAACAACTTCTAGACTCGACCACCTACCCTCCCAAGCATGGCCTGTTGTCGAACGATACGACAAAGGTTGTCATGATCGTCGACGTAGTGTCGCCAACTCCGTACGCTTTATTGCGGCGCGCCAAGAACTTTGAATATCGAGACGATGACCGAGGACTACAACAGTTCGCCAGTTATGATGATCCCGTGCAGGCCCTTACTGACGAATGTCGCCGTGTGCTCAAAGCTATCTCTTCTGCGAACCAGTCCCAGGTCTCGAATGCAAAAACATCCACGAGCTTAACGGATCCTTCATGGTCACGATTCGAAGACATCGGGTTTGGCAGCTCTCTTGAGGATGAAGAAGATGACGATGACGGGCTGCTAGGCCGCCGGGTTGTCTCCACACGACCTTTGCACGCCTCAGCTCGGGGAGGAGGTTATCAGGATCTGGCTCGACCGACTACTCCCTCATGGGCTGATTTTCTGTCGTCTGGATTTGCCGACGAGCACGGCAACAAAGCCCCTGCGCCTATTCTGCTTCCACCAGACAAAATTCTCCCTCCGATCAATACGACTGCGCCTAGAGGGCAGAGTTCGCAGTCACACCGGAGAAACATTGACACCCAGCAGAACCTTGATCCGGGTGAGTTAGCAAGCATTACCAAGGTCAATGTGGATGATTCTTTCTGGTGGGTCTGGATCAGTAGTCTTGCTTCAGAAGAACCAACCTCGAGAAAAGCCGTGTTCGGTCGGTGCGCACTGATTGAAACCGTTTTCCAAGACGACAAATGGATGGTGATGGAGGAGCAGGTCAAAGGCGCCGCACCGGAGCCAGCTGCCGGAGCGTATATTGCGGAGAAGAAAAAGACATTCCTGGGATTTACAACCAAACGTGGCCGAATAACTCGAAGAGGGTCAGGTTCAAAGAAGAGCCCTCTGTCGCCAGAAACACAGTTCACAACCAACAATAGGGCCACATTAGCGCCGGATCAACATGCCAAAATCCAGAAAGCCGCAGCCGAGCTAACTAGAAGAAAAGAGGCCGAGCAGAAGGAGGAGCAAGCTGCTCTAGCGACTCGTCGTGGACGTATACAAGAACCCGCTGCAGCGTCCAAGACAAACAGCATCTTTACATTGGGGCCCTTGATCAAAGATGAAGCCTCGCCAGCACTACAATGGGCCAGTCAGTACGACAAAAAGGCCATCCGGGCTAAGTATCTGGGCGACTCACTAGCTGGAAAGGGCTCGCGTGAGCTGTTGAACTTGCCTCAAAACGGCCTGGGAATTAGCAGGTCAACTTCGACGCTTTCTGTGGTCAGCAAGAATAAAGACCTTCCACCAGCACCGGCTAGTACAGCGACGCGTCCGGCTGTTATTGCAAGATCTCAATCTACAGAGCCTACACTAGCGCCACCAGTCGTCGTGGAGCCTGCTCAAATTCCCGCCGAACCGACCGATCCAGTCCAAACCGAAGCGACGACAGAGGCTGCAGAAGTGCCCCTGCCTCCAGCAACGCCGGAAGTTGTGGAGACCCAGCCTGCGAAACCTCAGCCAACCAAATTGAGGAAATCCCTCGACCAGCAACGTCGCTCTCCCGAGCAGAAAAAGACGAGGGGGAAGACTCCGACAGGGCCCCCTCCCGTGCAGAAGACCAGCGGCATTCGACGTCTGTTCGGGACCAAGAGATCCAAGTCACGGGACTCGAGAGTTCCAGAACCGCCCGAGTCGCCATCGAACGTGGATGAGGACCCTGCCGTTGCTGCGGCTAGACGTGCTCTGGAGGGCAAACCAGCCCTTCCCGCTGAAGGTCCGACCTCCCCCCCTCTGAGTCCTGGACACTTCCATCGCCTTGCTACCGTCAAGGCTTCCCAACCTTCAGCTCCGAGTGTGGAAGAAGCACCA